GATACCTCAAAGTAGTGGTGAAAGTTAGTTAATACATGTAGAGAACTTAGAACAGTGCCAAACACTTGTTAGCTCATTTTAGCTGTTATTTCTAGAATTACATTTCTTTCTTACACAACTGGGTTTAAAAATTGCCTCAATAAAAACAAAATTTGTCTACTTTTCTTTGAACATTAAAATCTTCACACATCTTCAATTGTTCTATAAAGCTGTAGTCCCAACCCCCAGGCTGCAGACCAGTAAGGTCCACAGCCTGTTAGGGACAGGGCCTCAGAGCTCCCCCCGCCCCTTCTGTGGAAAAATTATCTTCCATGAAACAGATTCCTGGTGCCATAAAGGTTGGAGATCGCTGCTATAAAGTGTCTCATAGTGTATATTTTTACAATGTCAGTATGTATGTAATTTATCAGCTCCATTTATTTTTCTTAGAGATAACCTCCTGAAGCTCTTCTGGAATTCTGCTCTGATTTGGACTTGTCGCTGTCTAGATCTGCTGCACAGGGGTTGTACTGGGCCTTACATTTACCATCATTCTGGGAATTCCTTTTGCCTCTCTTCTGTGTTAGATCCTGTGCATCTCATGTCTATCTTTTATTTGGTTTACTGTTTCTCTTAGTATTTTCTATTAAGCTCAAAGAAAATGTGCCTGAGTGATAAATTTTGATGGATAATTGGCTGGTTATAAAGTAGATTTTTACTCAGGATTTATTTTCACTCAGATTTTTAAATGAATAGTTCCACTGTGTTTAGTTTATAACATAGCTGTAATGATAGTGTTATTATTATTAGTCTTTTGTTATTTGCATTTTTCTTTGTTTCTAAGCATAGTATCTTTATCCTTGATTTTCTTGGCACAGGTCTTTTTAATTCATTTTACTGGACATTTGGTGGCCTTTTTAATCTAGTGACTCCTGTCTTTCAGTTCTGGGATGTTTTCTGCTACTTTTTCTTTGATAATTTTCTCCTCCTTTGTTTCCCTGCTTTCACATGTTGAATTTCTTTGATCCTCTGATTTTTAAAAAATTATTTTCTGTATTATTTATCTTTGGTTCTTGTTCTAATGGAATTTTTATTTTGGTTGTGATTTTATATCTTAGAGCTCCTTTTTGTTTTCTCTCATTTCATGGATGCTATATTTTCTCAGCTCTCTGTGGATATTAATTACAGTTTTTTTTTTCCAGCAAAACCCTTTTTAATGTAAGCACAAGTAGATTGCATAAAACAAATTTATAAGTTGATGCATTATTATAAGGCAAAAACTTTTGTAACCATCCCAGAGTCAAGAAATAGAACATTGCCAGCCAACCCAGAAGCCTGAATTTCAGTTCTTCCCCCACAAAATAGTCGCCATCCTAACTTTTATGGTACTTACTTTCTTTTTTGCTGATTGCATCCCCATTGTGTAGTTCAGCATATTTCTCTGCGTTATAAATTGGTGTTTAAATCTAGAGGCTTATAGAATTTGTGTTTGCTCTTTTGGGGGCGGGTAGAGCAAGAGTATTTTACACATGTGTGGTATGTTTTCCCATAAAGAAGCATGTGATGGCTGGGCATGGTGGTTCACACCTGTAATCCTAGCACTCTGGGAGGCTGAGGCGGGCGGATTGCTTGAGGTCAGGAGTTCGAAACCAGCCTGAGCAAGAGCGAGACCCTGTCTCTACTATAAAATAGAAAGAAATTAATTGGCCAACTTATATATATAGAAAATTAGCCAGGCATGGTGGTGCATGCCTGTAGTCCCAGCTGCTCGGGAGGCTGAGGCAGCAGGGTTGCTTGAGCCCAGGAGTTTGAGGTTGCTGTGAGCTAGGCTGACTCCATGGCACTCACTCTAGCCTGGGCAACAATGTGAGACTCTGTCTCGAAAAAAAAAAGAAGCATGTGATGAGGCCAGGCGAGGTGGCTCATGCCTGTAATCCTAGCACTCTTGGAGGCTGAGGCCGGAGGATCACTCAAGGTGAGTTTGAAACCAGTCTGAGCAAGGGTGAGACCCTGTCTCTACTAAAAATAGAAAAAAATTAATTGGCCAACTAAAAATATACATAGAAAAATTAGCTGGGCATGGTGTTGCATGCCTGTAGTCCCAGCTACTCAGGAGGCTGAGGCAAGAGGATTACTTGAGCCTGGGGTTTGAGGTTGCTGTGAGCTAGGCTGATGCCAGGGCACTCTTGCTTGGGCAACAGAGTGAGACTCTGTCTCAGAAAAAAAAAAAAAGCACATGATGTTTGGTTGTTTCTCTTGCTATGCTGTTAGCAGCCACTGGTGTTCAATGCATAGATCTCTTTATTGATCAAATGTTACAAAATGGTGAAGTAAAAAAAATTATTTATTTCTTTTTCGTTTATGGGCTTTAATATATTTATTTGTTTATGTATTTAAATTTTTTTTTGAGACAGTGTCTCACTCTGTTGCCCAAGCTTGAGTTCCATGGCCTCATCATACCTCACTGCAAACCCAACTCTTGGGCTTAAGCTGTCCTCTTGCCCCAGCTTCCTGAGTCACTGGGATACATGCTTGCACTACCATGCCTGGCTACATTTTTTTTTTTTTTTGGTAGAGACAAGTTGTTTAGGCTGGATTCGAACTCCTGGCCTCAAGCAATCCTCCTGCTCAGCCTGGCAAAGTCCTAGGATTGCAGGTGTGAGTCACTGTGCTCGGCTCTAAGTGCCTTCTGATACAGACTTTTATATGTCACTCCATACTTAGTTCCCTTACCTGACTTCTGCCTTTGAAGTCTAGTCCACCAGTTCTTTATTCTTTTGGAGTTCTGTAGACAAATGGGTTTTCTTCTCATTGCTTATTGTCCTCCTGCTGGGCACTGAAGTTCAATCTTCATCCTCATTTTATAAGTGCTTGTTATTCTTCCAGCTGCTTTCTCTGTTCATATATTGTGATTTGGGGTTTCACATGTACTGTAGTATGATTGAAGATAGAATATGTTTAATTTTTTCTTTTCTCCTTGGTTTTGGGTGCGAAGAAACAAAGAAATCTCTACTCTGCTACTTTAATATAGTAAAGTCCCCCTCATCCCATTTCTCCCCTTACTTCTATCCAGGGCTCCAACTCATCATATCATCAATATTTTCATGGCTTCTAAATCTTTCCTTCCAAAGCTGATTTTCTTTCTGAGCTGTGGATCTTTATATTCTGCTGCTTTCCAGACTTGCTGAATAATCTTCCCCAAATTTTTGCCAATTTTATTAGTCTTTTCAGAAGACCAGCTTTTGGTGCTATTGGCTCCATTGTGTTTTTTTTTCCTTATGTTAATTACTATTTTTATTTTTCTTCTTTTCTTGGGCTTATTGTCCTTTTTTTCCCTTTCAACATGAGATGCATACTTAATTCATTAACTTTCAAGTTTTTTTCCCCTTTCTAATGTATATATATTGAGACTTCTGTTTCTAGGTTCTGCTTTAGCTATGTCCCACAAGTTTTAATGTTTGGTTTTTGTTATTCAATTCAGAATCCTTGCTAATTTCCATCATGACTTCTTGTTTGGCCCATGGATTATTTTGAAGCATATGTCTTGATTTTCAGACTTTTGTTATCTTTTTGTTGAGTTTGACTCTTATAGCATTATAGTCATAAAACATACACTGTGTGATTTTATAGCTTAAAATTTGTTGAGACTTGCTTTTTGGATTGGTATATGGTCAGTTTTTATGAATATTATGTCTAGAAGATATCCTTTCTTGGATGAAGTATTGATGATTTAATTTTGCTAAATTTCTCACATAACCATCCTCCCAATTTTCTAAGTTAAAAACCTGGGAAATATGGTGAATTTCTCCTTTGTTCTCAATACCACACAAAGTCAATTCTTAATACCTATCCATTCTACTTTTTAATTATTTCATGTCATAAGAGTAGTGCCGTGATTGTTTTTTAAAACCTGGAAAATGTAAAGTAAATAAAATAAGTTACTCAAAGCCCTGCTACCCAGGGATTTTTTTTTTTTTTTTTTTTCTATTCCAGCTTCTTCATAGCCCTAATTCAGGTCTGTCTGTTCTTCATAGACTATTACAGATTTATTAGGGCTCTCATCTTTTCTGTTTTATATAACATTTATTTGTTTATTCATTCAGCCAGTATTGAGAACCTCTTTTGTGCTAGGTATAGGGCATATATAACAGTAAATAAGGCAGAGAGGCAAGGCCCCTACTTTAATGGCGCTTTTATAGCTTGGGCTTTTTTATTTGTCCAGTGTTATCTTTGTCATTTTCTCTTTGTTATAATTTGAGCTATAGCTGTAAATGAATTGTGTTCTTAGAAAAGTGTGTGTTGTCTCCTGACTTTGTGCCTTTTCATATGTTCCCTAGGCTTATGAAGCCCTCTCTAAAGTTCATCTCTGAAACTACTACTCATCCTTTAAGTCTTGAGTTAAAGCTGTCTTAATTAAATTTTGTCTGACCCTGCCTCTTACTTCTGGTTAGATTAGATGTTATTCTTGTGTCTATTCAGTATAGGAATTATATTACATATAGTTTTTAGGTGTGCATGTGTTTCTTTACTTGGGCTGTAATTCCTTGGTGGTATGTACTGTATCTTTCCATAGGTGTTTTTCTTAACACCCAGCATAGTACCTGGCACATAGGCATTCTACAAATATTTGTTGAATAACCACAGCCATACAGTTAAATAAAATCTACAACCATACAATTAAATAAAATCACCATATTTTTCTTAACTTCCATTGGACTCATTATGAAATAGCTTGGGGAATGCATTGTGTTGGTTGGTTAAAATGTTCTGATTTATTAAAAAGTACATTGTGAGATACTAGTTTTCAAATATAAGCCCTCAGCTAGGGAGATAAAATACATTGGTTGTTTATAATAAGGCTGCATTTTTGCATATAAATCATTATAAATGGGAATTGAGATTCTAAGTCAGTTGATGTATAATTCATAATATAGTTTATTTGCAGTATTTCCGATATTTACTATCTACTGTAATGGTTTCAGAATTTAACCTTATGCTCTAATAAATGCATTTTTTCTCAGTGTTGCCCGGCTGTGAGACTAGGGTATCTGCTGATTCTGAACCACTAGTAGCAACCCTCACCAAGGGTCCCAGCAAGGTGAGGGATGAGAGGATAACATCTACAGATGGTAAGAGTGAGATATTTATTTATATCTTAGACAGACACTACCTACCTATACCCAGTTGGTTAGCCTGTCAGGTAAAGAATGTGGAGGAGGTTTTTACATGTATAGGTTCCTGAAGAAAGACTTTCTGTTTTGGCATTCAGAGGTTTTTTTTTAGCCTAAATGTTGCCTCCCCACCTGATCCCCCTAAGGCACTGCTTACTGTAAGTCCTTTATCACATAGAAAGAGATCCCATGCACATTTTTATTATATAGCATCAATCTTAAATGTCAGTGGACAACCAAGGATTACTAAGTAGTTGACGAAAGCCTGCTGCGTGAAAGGAGAGCCTAAGATAAGCAGGAAAAAAAATCTGTAAAGAAATAGATAATGGAAGGGTTTTTTTTTGAAGGCTGAGCATTATGATTGAAAGAAGACCTCATGTCTAGACATAGCCTTGTGAAATTTCAAGACATCAAGGACAAAGGAAGATCCTAAAAAGTTCCTGAGGTGGGGAAAATGGCAACCTATAAAGGAGTAAAAATCAGAGTGGCCTCAGATTTTTCATCACCAGTGCTAAGTGTAATAGAGGAATACCATCAAACTTCTGAGGGGAAATTATTTTCAGCACTAAATTCTATATCCAGGAAACTGGCAGTCAGTTGTGGGGGTAGAATTGAGATATTTTTAGATACAGAAAGTTTAAATGTATACATCCATTTATTGCAAGCCACTGCTCCAGAAAAAAAATATACGATCTAGAAAGCAGAGTGTTAAGGGGAACTTCCAAGATGATAAGGACAAGGCCTAGAGGGTAATCATTCTAGATTGGTGCAGGAATGTGGAGAGCTCTAGAAGCAAGAAGTACCTGTGGGAAAAAGAAAGGTTTGAAATTATCTTTGACAATTTGAAAGAGGTGGCGATAAAGTGATATATTAAGCAATTCTGGGAAAAATTAAAAGTGAATAAGAAAGGATATTTAATAAGGATATACTGCTTATCTTTGCAGTGACTAATATTTAAAGATTTTTACGGTAGGTAAAACTTACTGATTTAATGAGAACAGGCCAGTAAGATTTGTTAGAGGATGGGAGGTAGGAAGTGGAAGTTGGTGTAAGATGTGAATTACCAACTTGTTTGGCAAGAAGTCAGATCTGAAACTGATCAGTTTTCAAAGAGAAGCATAAGCACATTATTTGGAAATATGGAGGTGTTTCCCAGAAGAAATAGCTGAAAGAGTTAAAAAAAAAAAAGCACCCACCTTTGAGAGCAGAGCTGAGGTATGGGAAGGGATGGATTGAGGAACTTTTGCTTTTCATTTTAAATTTTTTTGTACTATGTGATTTAAACAAACCCCACTGCATCTGTACATAGAGTAGAGCCAGCCTTAAATCTGCTTGCTTTATGCTTTTTGTCCTCTAGGTTCAACCTGGTTCTCTTTGAAGTTTTCCTTTCAAGAAATCCTCAACCAGAATGGAAGCAACCAGTCTCAGGCTTCATTTTACTGTACCTGCCTCAAGAAATAAAGAATTCCTTCCCAGTAGTTTTAGTGTTTAAGTAGATTGCCTGCTGCTTCCCTTGTACCTGGGTCTTTGGCCCTGCTTGGCCTCATCTGTGGGAAAGTTTCCATCAACATTGGCACTTCGTTAAGTTACATTACATCCTTCACATGTGATTAACACATATATTTACTACTTTTCCCAGGGAAGGGAAGAAATTGTGGGAAGGAGCATGGGAATGATAGCAGCTTTTTGTGCTCCTTAAGAGATGAGACCTGTAACTCTTGGGATAGGGAAACAGCAGGATAGGTTTTTTCTTCCCTTTTCTTTTAGCAGTGCTATTTTTTCTCCCTGTTATTGCAAAATCATGTGGCTTTGTGGATTGATGACTCAGTGTGAGGAGGGAGGGAGGTACACTGAGAAGTGGGATGAGGCAGTGGGAGGTACACTGTGAAGTGGGACTTGGTTTTCCTTCCTTTTCTCCCTTAGCTGCTAAGTGGTACTCCATGGGCTGAAGAGTAGTGGCAGGGCTACTGGAGACATGGTTGTGATGCATCTGTCAAGGCTGATTGGGGTTACCAGCGAAGAGGAGGGAAAAATCTCAGCAGCACATACAGTAGTGGGATGAAAGTTCCTACTGGGGAGGTGAGTCCTCTGTTGGAGTAGTGGCATTTGCTCTTAGAAATTGCCTTTAATTAAATTACCAGTTACTGCTGGTAATTTACTGATTTACTTATTGTACTCCTACTACTTTTTGGGCACTGTGCTAGGTACTGGGGAAGTAATGGTAAATAGGATGGAATAATTCTTTCCCATCTCAGAGTACAGACTATTTATGGAGTGGGGAGTGGATAAAGACTAGTAGGCAAATTAAGCACAGTGTGGCAAGTGTAATGATGGAGGAACTATAGCAGGGGTCCTCAAACTTTTTAAACAGGGAGCCAGTTCACAGTCCCTCAGACCATTAGAGGGCCGTTGGTGAGTGTGGCGCACATTCCACACATGTGCACTGTGGGCCCTGGACGAGTCGGCTGCTAAGCAGGCTAGGCAGCGGCGGCAAAAACACTCAGCGGGCTGGATAAATGTCCTTGGTGGGCCGCAGTTTGAGGACGTCTGAACTATAGCATACTAAGAGAGCATCTAACCTGAACTCGATGGGTAGGCTTGAATAGGGAAAGAAGCCTTGAAGAAGGAGGGTCTAGTTGAGTTTTTCCTACCATTGTTGGGCCCTTAGGTTAGGGGACCTTGACTGTCTTATTTACCTTTGTATCCCTAGGGCCTAGCACAAGCATTCATTAAATATTTATTGAAGGCAACATAATTAACCTGAAAATGAGTTAGATTTCTTGATGTTTCTTTCGCCATTTGTTGAAAAATTATATTATGGCAGGTCCTTAACCTATGTTTTTAAATATTAGCCTCACAGTAGTCTGGAGAGGTTATCTTAGACAGATTAGACTGTCCAGGGTCTTACAACTAATTATTCAGATAGTCCTTTAGTTAGTTGGAGGAATAAATTGAGGAATGAGTAAGGAAGAATTAATTCCTCTCTTCCCTAAGCCATACTCTTTCTTGAATTATACATCCAGTTTTCAGGTTCTTTTGTCAGGGTCTTATTTATTGTGGGAGTAGTAAACCAAGAAAGAAGTACTGGCTTGAGTCCTCAATCTCCACTTGGTCTCAAGGGAGGAAACGTCTTTGCCCAGGCAATCTCTTTCAAGATGTGTAGTGGTGATGCAGTGGCAGTGATTCACCTCTTTCCATTATTTTATTGTGGTAAAATACATATAAACATTTACCATCTTAACTTTATTTTTTTATTTTTTGGGTCTCACTCTGTTGCCTGGGCTACAGTGCAGTGATTATAGCTCACTGCAACCTCAAACTCCCAGGCACAAGTGATTCTTCTGCCAAAGCACTAGGATTATAGGTGTGAGCCACGGAGCCTGGCCTATCTTAACCATTTTTGAGTATACAATTTAGTGGTATTGAATACATTCATAACATTGTGTAATTACTACCAATATCCATCTCCATGACTCTTTCATCTTCTGAAACTGAAACTCTTTATTCATTAAACAATAACTTCTTATTCCCCCCACCCCTCAGACCCTAGATTCTTAAACAGAGACGGCCTGAATCTAAGATAAGGTGAGATGAAGGATACAGCTTTGTAGCTACTGAACAGAGTCAACTGAGCACCCCAAAGGAATACTGATTCCCCAATAAAAAAAGCCTGTTTATCATGGCAGTTTACAGTGTGTGAACTGAGAAAAATGTTTGCAACATGTATAACAGGAGTTATTACTTTTTTGTTGTTGTTGCCCAGGTTAAGAGTGCCGTGGCATCAGCCTAGCTCACAGCAACCTCAAACTCCTGGGCTCAGGCAATCCTCCTGCCTCAGCCTCCCAAGTAGTTGGGACTACAGGCATGTGCCACCATGCCCGGCTAATTTTTTCTTTTTTTCAATAGAGACAGGGTCTCACTCTTGCTCAGGCTGGTCTTGAACTCCTGAGCTCAAACCACCTGCCCGCCTCGGCCTCTCAGAGTGGTAGGATTCCAGGCATGAGCCACTGCGCCCGGCCAAGGGTTATTATGTATATAAGATGCTCTTAAAAATTTTATTATGAAAAAGATTAGCATTTCAGTTTTTAAAAATGGGCAAAGAACATCCACTATAGTTTCCAGAAGGCATACATACTGTCAAGAAACCTATTAAAAAATATGCCGCTTCATCAATAATAATAGAAATATGGGTAGAAATGGAGTGTGTGTGAATGTGTGTTGTCATCAAATAGCAAAAGAGTGATAATACTCCCTGTTGGTGAAGGTGTGGGCCATCAAGTACTACTCTAATAGTGAGAGTGTTAATTGGAACCTCTTGGGAGAATAATTTGATAATATATATGACATTAAAAAAATACATAATTTGGGGATGAGGGGAAATGGATGTATAAATGAAACAATATTGGCTATGAGGTGATAATTAAAACTGGGTGGTAAGTCCTTGGTGGCTCATTGTGATTGTTTTGTCTACTTTTGTATATGTTTGTAAATTTTCTATTATAAAGAGGAAAAATGTACACAGTCTGATACAGTAATTATGTTTATGATTTTATCCTGTACAATAGTTGGGAATGTAAAAGAATGAGCTTTATATTATTACTTATGATAGTAAAACATTGAAAACATGTTCCTTAATTGGGTAATGGTTAGAAAGCTTAGCAGCTGATGAAAAGATTGTCATATATGCTTTTGTTTTATACTTACTGGATGGAAGTTACATTGTCCAAGATGTATTTTTATAAGAGAAAAGTTATAGAACAGTATATAGAATACTCTACATTTTGTTAAAAACATTTATATAAATTATATCTATATATTTAATGTATATATAAGAAAAATTAAATGAAGAGTTTTCTGTTGGTAGAGATGGTACGGGGAATTTTCACTTTTAACTATATGTTTCTATATTATTTATTTTACCATCAGCATGTTTACCTTTGAAATCAGAAAAGAAATAAATTCTAAAGTTAGAAAAATTAATTTGGCTTTAATAAAGGTCGTATTCTAGAAAAGAGAGAAGTAATCAGTGACAGTAATGGGGAGAAAACTACATGGTGGGGGAAGTGTACAAAGATGTGTATTCTAGTTATGTTTGGGTTGTGGTATTATGCATCATTTACCCTTTTCTTGCTGTTTTCTTTTCTTTCTTTCTTTCTTTTTTTAAAGACAGGGTCTTGCTTTGTTGCCTGGGCTAGAGTGCAGTGATGTTATCATAGCTTGCTGCAACTTCAAGCTCCTAGGCTCAAGCAATCCTCCTGCCTCAGCCTCCCAAGTAGCTGGGACTACAGGTGCACACCAACATGCCCTGTTAATTTTGCTCTTGCTCAGGCTGGCTTTGAACTTTTGGCCTCAAGCAGTTTTCCCAAGTGATCTCTCAGAGTGCTAGGATTATAGGCGTGAGACATGCCCAGCCTCTTGCTATGTTTTCTATAAGGTTTCTTTGGGCAGAGAAATTTTGAAAGAAGACAGTGCTTTTACAAATGATTTTGTTTGTTAATGCAGTTTTATATGTGATTTATATTCTTCATGTTTATGAGGGCAAAAGGTTGATATATATTTGCCTTAAATGTGAATGATAGTGTCTATTTACTTAGAGCAAAACTGAGATTAGTTGTGGTAACAGTCATTATTAGAAAAAAATTTAACTCATTAAACATAGATTTTTCTTGACTTAAATTTTATAACTTCCACATAATGTTTCTGCCTTTTGTGTACCATGTCCTGTGCAAAGCATTGTGTGTATAGCTGTGAATAAGAGTAAGACAGATACACCCTGTTTTTGGTGGAGGTGGGGGGTGGGGGGTGGGGAGGCATTGCAGTGGGCAGAAGACTAAATGGGAAGGACTGTAGGAGTGGAGACAGTATATATAACTTTTCCCTAGAGGTTTGGCTGTGAATGGTAGGAAAGAAATAGGAGGAAGTTGTAGGAACACAAAGAATCAAGAGAATTTTAGTTGTTCCCCCCCATACTTTTTTTTTTTTTTGAGATAGAATGTTGTTCTGTTGCCCAGAGTGTAGTGGTATCATCACAGCTCATTGCAATGCCAGACTCCTGGGCTCAAGTGATCCTCCTGCCTCAGCCTCTGGAGTAGCTGGGACTACAGGTGTGCACCACCCCATCTGGCTGGTTTTTCTGTTTTTAGTAGAGACCAGGTCTTGCTCTTTTTCAGTCTGGTCCTCCCACTCTCGCATCCTTTTTATAAGTTTTTAAGCATAGTTGAATAGTAATAGGAAGATACCAGTAGAGAGATTATGCTAGTTTTGGTTTGTAATTCTGTAACCTTTGTCAAGTTATTTAATCAGTCTTGCAGTTATACTTCTTGCTTGTAAAAGGGTATCTATAAAATCCTCATCTGCAAAAATGTCTCTATGGTATTACTTCTGTATATATAGCACCTGGCATAGTAAGTGGCTCATAATAGGGGCTCAAAAATGATTTGTAAATGATTATACTGAATATTTAATGTAGGTTCAGGCACACAGTAATCTCATTAACTTTTCCTCAGAGGTTGTCTGAATGGGAGGAACAATTAAGGAGGGCTGTTGGGAGGGGGGCATAAGGAATCAAGGGTAATTATTATGTTAGGTCTCATTGATACGCAGCAGACCAGAAATATTAGAAGCAAGGCAAAAACACTAGGAGATGGAAAATCAAAAAAAGTTTGCTATCTTATGATCTAAGATGTATTGTGCAATGGGAATAGTACAGGGGAGAGTAAGACAGACTTTGCCATCATGATAAAGGAGAGAATTTATTGAAGCAATAGTAGAGCATATGAAACTGGGAATCTTTGCAATTTGGATTTTTATATATTTTGCCGTAGAATTGGAAGATTCTAGGTCTTAGTCCTCTGTTGCATTCTATTGAGGTCATTTCTTACCCATAATCATTGTTCAGGCTTTGGTTAGTTTCTTTAACTTAAAGATGCAAAATTTCTCAAGTGAACTCTGAACTTTTTAAAAACTTTGTTACTATAATATAGTTATTTTCATACTGTGATTTAAGTTAAATTGTTTCAGTGTCTGGAGAAAGAAAGTTCTCAGCCTGGCCTTGAGCATCCCTGCTAATAGAATTCATTATGATTCATCCTCCAGTTTTACTTCTGCTCCCTAGCACTCATCCTGTCAAATGTTTAAACTTTTTACCCCCTCTAATTATGGTACTAAAGTACCTTTTCCTCACAATTAACTATGGCAGTAATATATGGTAATAATATATTCCTTTAGAACGGTGGTTCTCAAAATGTGATCCATGGACCTTTTCAGGGGGCCTGGAAGGTTGAAACTATTTTTATAATAATACTAAGATGTTTTTTGCCCTTTCCATTCTGTTGACATCTGTACAGATGGTGCAAAAACAATGTTAGGTAAAACTGCTTTGTGCCTTAGCATGAAATCAAGGCAGTGGCTTCATATAGTACTAGTATTCTTCATTGTTGTATACTCATAACAAAAAACATAAAATACACACATAAGCACATACCCCAAATCTTATTTCACTTAACATTCTCGATGAAACAGTAAAAATTGATAATTAAATCTTGATCTTGAGTTTAGGTTTTTAGAGTCATGTGTGATGAAGTGTACCTAAAGCATTTGTGCCATTGTTTGAGGTGCTAGCTGAACTAGCAGCTTTTTCATGGAACATCATTTTTACTTGAAACAGTGATTGACTTGTATATATGGCAGATATTTTCTGGAAGTGACAGACTTCATTTATATTTACCTTATTTACTACCATTTTTTAATTTTCATTTGTTCCTGTGGGTTCAAGTTAACATTTTGTGTCATTTCTTTAAAACAAGTTTGCTCCCACTCATCTCCTTTGTGCTGTTATTGTCAAATATATCACATTTCTATAAGTTATAGGTTTAGCAATACAGTTATGCACACTGCTTTGTATGCTTGCTTTAGAGGGCATACACAATTTATACTCTCTTTTATAATTACTTGTCTTTATTGGTGGTGTTTTTTTTGGCATATGGATTTGAATTTCCTTCTGGGTTTACTTGCTTTCAACCATAAGAACTTCTTTTTTTTTTTTAATTTTTAAATTTTTTTTTTTTGAGACAGAGTCTCGCTTTGTTGCCCAGGCTAGAGTAAGTGCCATGGCGTCAGCCTAATTCACAGCAACCTCAAACTCCTGGGCTCAAGCAATCCTACTGCCTCAGCCTCCCGAGTAGCAGGACTACAGGCATGCACCACCATGCCCGGCTAATTTTTTTTATATATATTTTAGTCGGCCAATTAATTTCTTTGTATTTATAGTAGAGACGGGTCTCGCTCTTGCTCAGGCTGGTTTCGAACTCCTGATCTCGAGCAATCCACCCACCTCGGCCTCCCAGAGTGCTAGGATTACAGGTGTGAGCCACCGCGCCCAGCCAACTATAACTTCTTTTAGTATTTCTTGTAAGGTGGTCCTGCTAATAAAATATTCATTTTTGTTTATCTGGGAGTATCTATTTTCACCTCCCGCTGCCCCAGACAGAGTCTCTGTTACCCCCGGTAGAGTGCAGTGGTATGATCAGAGCTCACTGCAACCTCAAACTCCTGGGTTCAAGCAGTACTGCCTCAGCCTCTCTAGTAGCTGGGATAACAGGCATGTGCCACCCTGCCAGGCTAATTTTTTCTACCTTTGGTAGAGACAGGGTCTTGACCTCCAGGGATCCTCCTGCCTCGGCTTCCCAGAGTGTTAGGACTATAGGCATGATCCACTGTGCCTGGCCTTCACTTTCATTTATGAAAGACCGTTTTGCTGGATGTAAGATTCTTGCTTGACAGGTGAGCAGGTCCCCCCTCACCGCTCCCTTCAGCACTTTGAATATGTCATCTCATTGCTTTCTGGCCTTCATTGTTTCTGATGAGAAGTTAGTTGCTAATCTTATTGTGGTTTCCTTGTACATTTTGAGTTCCATTTCTCTTGTTGCTTTCAAGATTTTCTCTTTGTCTTTCAGCATTTTTGCTATGATGTGGCTGGGTGTAGATCTCTTTGCATTTAATCTATAATAACTTGGAGTTTGTTAAGCTTCTTAGATGTGTAGATTAATGTTTTTCCAGCAAATTTGGGAGGTTACCATTTGTTATTTCTTTGAATATCTTTAAAATGTATTTTTTTTAAAACTGAAACTTTGTACTCATTCATCACTAACTCTCCACCACTCTTTCTGCCTGGCCTTTGGCTACCACCATTCTACTTTCTGTATCTATGAAGTTGAGTACTCTACGTACACATTTAAGTGGAATTATACAATAATCGTCCTTTTTGTCTGGCTTATTTCACTTAGTGGAATGTCTTCAGGATTCATCCATGTTGTAGCCGTAGAATTTCTCAGAATTTCTATATTTTTAGGCATTGAAATTAGTATTCCTAATTCTTAGGTATTGAAACTTTTTTGCTTGTTTTATTTTTACTAAACTTTTATGCTATTTTAGAATTATTATCTATCTAGTTTTACATATCATTGTATGTTCAGTTAGTGATTGGAAAAGTGAAACCAAACAGTTGATTTGCTGGTATGCTGTGCTATTTATGGGATGACTAATAAGTAAGTTAAAATGTAATTTTGTACTATATAATGTTGGCATTTTTTCTTTAAAAAAAGTAAATGCTCTCATAATACACTTTCCATTGAATGTGGTTTTATGAAATTGGTGATTTTCAATTTTGTTTTTAACTCCCAATCTGCATATTTTATTGAGTATGATACACTCCCAGGAATAAAAAGACTCAATTTAGTAATGATTCCCATAGGGTAAGGTTCATAACTGCCCTTCCAATGAGTGTGAATATACCCAACTACCCACCAAAGTCACTTGTTGATGAGTCTTAACTGCATGTGGCATAATTAAGAGATTATAATTTAATTCACTTTTATTCTTATCTAAACCTAGTCATGAGATTCAAGGCATTCTTTGCTTATGACCATGGCCTGTCCACCTCAACCTAAAGCTGTTATTTTGGTGATAACTGTCCTGAATATGTTATCTTAGAATGTTTGCTGAATCCTGGCCTCACTTGGGGTAGGCAGTGAATGAATATTGAGAATTATTGTAATTTCTTTTTAAATTTGCTTGGAGAGTATTTGTGATTTGAGCTACTTTTTGTATTTTCCTTCAATTTAAGGTTTTTAACAAATGAAAATTTTTGACTAACATGAAATATCTCATTGGTAAGTAAGTTCTGCAAGTAAATCTTATATATGGTCTTTTATTCCCTAAACAGAGACTCTACAGGGGCAGGTAATTCACTGGTCCACAAGCGGTCTCCTTTACGTCGAAACCAAAAGACCCCAACATCCTTGACCAAGCTGTCTTTACAGGATGGACAAAAAGCCAAAAAGCCAGCATGTAAATTTGAAGAGGGTCAGGATGTCCTAGCTAGATGGTCAGATGGCTTGTTTTATCTTGGAACTATCAAAAAGGCAAGTTACCTTAATGTATCTTTTCCTGCTTTTTCAGTAAAATTTTAATAACCTTAAATTTAACTTCATGTTTTTGATTTTAAGAGATAACTGTTAAGTATTTCTCTGTATTGCAGATAAACATATTGAAACAGAGCTGCTTCATCATATTTGAAGACAGTTCTAAATCCTGGGTTCTCTGGAAGGACATTCAAACAGGCAGGTGCTACTATTTCTCCTGAACATGATTTATACAGAAATATAATTGTCTTCAACTTGTCACATTCTGGTGTTGTCTCCTGAATATAATGTATTAAAATAATTCATTATTATTTTTGAGGAGAGGTTGAAAACATCAACATAAACTGGGTGTGGTGGCTCATACCTGTAATCCTAGTGACTCTGGAGGCTGAGGTGGGAGGATCATTTATTTGAAGGCAGGAGTTCTAGACCAGCTTGGGCAACATAGCCTAAACCCATCTTGGGAAAGAAAGAAAAAGAATCAATGCAGTCTTTAAAGTGCTATAATCTATATTATGGACATAAGAAGAACAAGAATACTTGTAGAGTAGAGGTAGATTAAAGGACAGATATATCACTGACTCGAACTTATAAAGTATTGTTATGAACTCTGAAGAAAAATTTTTTGCCACTAATAAAAGTAGACCTTTGGGATTCAGTTTAACTGTTAATTGCTTATATTTGTACAAAGCAATATAGAAAGCAAATACTTAATTGAAAGCATACTATTTACCAGATGATTTGGGAAATTAGGATGTACCAAACTATTTTAGAGTAATAGAAATATTGATTAATAAAAATGGTTTAAAAATATCATTTAATTATGGTTTTTTTATGTTTAGATGGGAAAATGAGGCTATATTTGGGTGCAAGTAAAAATGAATACATGTGTCCCTTGGTTTGGTTATAGGTATGTTTCTTGTGATGATTTTCATTATTACAAACTATAATTGCTGTACGCCCTTTGAATCTAGTAGATATAGGTGTTTTCCCAGGTATTTCTTTCATGCAGGTTATTTATAAAAAGTATGAATATTAAAAATCTGAGTATTTTAGCTGTTCATTAAAGACCCACTTTTGGTTTTCCTTTTGCTGGGTTAATAGGCCTGTGCTAAGGACTTGTGTTTTATATCTCCTCTTACAGAAGAGTGATACACATTTTCTCCTTAACGGTAGACACATTTCTAAAGTATTTAGTGATTGAGTTTTATATTTAATTCCCAAGTACAACTTTATGGTAGGTTACTGCTGTTTTCTATTTCTTGATTTTACTCCTTATATTTCTCAAAGAATAAGAAAAGTTTTGATAAAGAATTGGAATCTTCTACTTACCATCTATATAGTTAGTACTCAGGGTTTAGGTAGGGCACTCAGTAACTCCAGTAAAATGTTTTTCTAGAGAAACTTTACAATTCTTGGGAGTTATCAGTTTAAAGGACTGAAATCATGTTTTGAATCTGAAATTGAGGGGTCAGTAAGAAAAGCGTGACTCATAAAATGCAAAGAGATAGGAGGTCTATAACATAGTAATATTGAAGAGATCTTATTACCCTGCATACAGAATACTTCCTTTTTTATTATTATGTAGACATGGGTCTCTCTGTAGTAGGATGGAAACATATAACGTGCTTTTTGTTGCTCTTCCATTAGCTGTGTGTTTCTTTGGGTTTTTAAACTCTTAGAGGTTCCTGTGGGTTTAATACAATAGGTGTTTTTATTTTTTTGTCCCCTCTTTCTCCTTTCCTTTTCCTTTAAAAGTGGCAGAAAAGAAGACAACCAATGGTATATAGAGATAGAAAGTTGTTGTGTGAGGGGTCTTGTCCAACAAGTATCTCACCTAGTATGTTAATTTAATGGCTTGTGATTGTTATGTCTTCACTGGTTCCTTATATTGTCTCTAGAATTGCAAAGGAATGTTCCTTGGTCATTTAACTTTTTGTAGCACACATGAAAGAAACACACATGAAACTTGTAGTTGTTGTAGAAATGAACAAATCAATCTGAAAACTGCATTATGGCAATTTTGGTGATTGAAGTAGCTTTAGTAGTTTTCTTCCCTTTAAGAAACCTACGAATAATAGATACATATCAAAATAAGTTAATAAATTAGAATAATTTTATTTATCTAACAAAATTCTTTTAAAAAGTTTGCATGAATAAGGAAAAGTATATTATCATGTTAGTAGTCAAAGAAATGTATATTACAGCAGATATATTAGTGTATCATGTTAAGACATAAGTTTAAAGGGGTTTTCAGTTTTAACACCTAATGCCATTTTGGTTTCTGTGAAATGATAAACACTTTTTGCATTGCTGGCGGCAGTGTATATTTCTCTTTTGGTTATTACTTTAGCACTTGCATTAAATGCATAAAAATGTTCATACTCTTTAATCCTTCCAACAAACTCACTTCTAGCAGTTTATTCATAAGAAATAATTTAAAATTGAACACCTAAATGAGAAATGTTTGCTTAGCTTTATTTTAATAATAACAAAAAATTTGGTATTTCTAAGATGAAATGGCCAAAACTTCATAGTCAATTGGATTTTGAATAAGAGAGACTATAGAAGGCCACTGAGCTATATAGGAAGGTTCTTATAAACTTGATGGTAAAAAAGATGTACTTTGATCTCACAAGTAGAGATTATCCAGCTGGGCATGGTGCCTCAAGCATGTAATCCTAGCACTTTGGGAGGCTGAGGTGGAAGGATTGCTTGAGGCCAGGAGTGTTATTGTTGGTGTGTGAATACACTTTGTGCATTGTGTTTTTGATTGTATTGAAATAGGTTACACAAGAACTTCGGAAATGACACTTGTGTTAGGGTGATAAAATTCTAAATTTTGTGTGATGATTTTTTTTTAGAGTAAAAATGTTTAAGGAAGAAATGATTTACTTGTCCAGGTAAAAAATATAATTAATATTTGTGGAACCCCCAACTTTTGTTGCAATAGGATTTTGTGAGGGTACATTTTTAGGCACCATATTTCTAGATTTGAGAAGCTGGAAATTAAATAATTGGTGTTCAGCCTCTTTCATAAATTAGTAAATAAAAAGAAATGCTCCGAATCTAGACAGAGAGGGGCAATTTCCATGTCTTCCTTGCTTTTTTCCTTTAGTCTCATGCTATTAGTGGTGTAGGATGAGTGAATGCATGTACTTGAGTAGGTGTGTATTCTGGATTGTAGCTCTAGTGTTTACAATACTCCCCCTGCCCCCCCCCAATCTCCTGCTCCCTCCCTTGAGAGTGGGAATACTAGAAGTGAGTAATAAAAGAAGCTACCTGAGCAATTTAAATTATGTCCTCTGCCAAAAAGTAGATTAAATTATGAATGTAAACATATCAGGCATCTTAAATTCTTAAGTTAAAGGTGGGAAGAACACAGATAGGGAGCAGAGAGATAGCATTTTGTGCACAGTACTTTGTCTTGTGAAGCTTTATGGTCTATTTAACAAATGTCTGTATGTGCTACACACTGAGTATAAAAGTAGTTTTGTTATATGAGATTCTTTATGATTCTTTTTAATGTATATTTTAAATATTTCAGGAGCCACTGGAAGTGGGGAAATGGTCTGTACAATATGTCAAGAAGAGTATTCAGAAGCTCCCAATGAAATGGTTATATGTGATAAATGTGGCCAAGGTAAACACTGATTTCTTTTAATCTTATGGAAATGTTTTGTTACATACTGAGTGCCCCCGTTGAAGATTTTACATTGGTATTTTGAAGTTATTATCCTAAGTTTATTCATCAGTTATAAATACATTAATGTAGGAAATGATAATACTAAAATGCCTTATTGAAATTGTGATATGGTATTAATTAATAAAATAGAATTTGCTTTATGCTTTTTTTGATATTAAGGATATCATCAGTTGTGTCACACACCTCATATTGATTCCAGTGTGATTGATTCAGATGAAAAATGGCTCTGTCGACAGTGTGTTTTTGCAACAACAACAAAGGTATTTTTTAAGTGTTTTGGGCTAAAGCCCTAATTGGAATTTGTAAGGCACTATCATTGTAATGATTGTGTACATTGAAAGTTTATTTAAATGAAATGAGCAATGAATGCTAGGTAGAAAGAGGTAATGTTTATTGTTTGACTAATGATGCTTAAGTGAATTGCAACTCTTTTTACACTTAATTTATGATAGTGAATGGAAATTGGGGCAATAATTTGAAGGAAGACCACAAAATGAATAGCTGTTATTAATTTTTACAGTTGGTGATATGGTAGAGATTTGGAATGGAAATTCCTTCAGAAGTGTTAGAGATGTTTTTAAAGTATAAAATTGTGTTTAAAAACGAGTAAGATGCGCAACGTTTGGGGGATGGACACGCTTGAAGCTCTGACTCAAGGAGGGGGATGGGCAATATACTTAACTTTAACACTAGTACCCCCATAATACGCTAAAATAAAAAAAAGACAATAAAAAAATTGTGTTTAAAATTTTAGCCTTCACTCTTTTAAATAATTTTTTTCCCTCTAATATAGAGGGGTGGTGCGCTTAAGAAAGGACCAAATGCCAAAGCATTGCAAGTCATGAAGCAGACATTACCCTATAGTGTGGCAGATCTTGAATGGGATGCAGGTCATAAAACCAATGTCCAGCAGTGTTACTGCTATTGTGGAGGCCCTGGAGAGTAAGTAAATATACTTATTTAGTGCTGTTTAAGTAATGTTTAATTGCTTGCATTGTCTGTTTTTCTTACTGATTATGGCATGGGAGTGATAGTAAATGCATGAAAGTTTCAGTAAAGAAAATTAGGGGCGAGGTGGCTCACGCCTGTAATCCTAGCACTCTGGGAGGCCGAGGCGGGTGGATTGCTTGAGGTCAGGAGTTTGAAACCGGCCTGAGCAAGAGCGAGACCCTGTCTCTACTATAAATACAAAGAAATTAATTGGCCAACTAATATATATAGAAAAAATTAGCTGGGCATGGTGACGCATGCCTGTAGTCCAGCTACTCGGGAGGTTGAGGCAGCAGGATTGCTTGAGCCCAGGAGTTTGAGGTTGCCGTGAGCTAGGCTGATGCCATGGCACTCACTGTAGCCTGGGCAACAAAGCGAGACTCTGTCTCAAAAAAAAAAAAAAAAAATTAGGGGGGAAAAATCTACCATTATTTTCACTGAAAAATAAATCTTGTCTAAGTTTTGACATGTCCATGTATTTTAAAATCTTGTTATAAGTCTGATTATTTTGGAAATTAAAAGTGAATTGTAGGCCAGGTATGGTGGCTCAAGCCTGTATTCCCACCACTTTGAGAGGATGAGAAAGGAGGGAGCGCTTGAGGCAAGGAGTTTGAGACTAACCTGGGCAACATAGCAAGACGTTGTCTCTACAAGAAATAAAACAAAAATTAGCTGGGCATGGTGGTGACCACCTGTAGTCCCAGCTACTGGGGAGCTGAGGCAGGAGGATTGCTTGAGCCCAGGAGTTTGAGGTTGTGATGAGCTATGATAGTACCACTGCACTCCACAATTGGGAAATGCATTGTTTCCAGAAATAATCTGACAGAATATAATGAGTTAATGGGCTACTAGAGTCCTGGGTATTAGCTTCTGTTGTTGAAAGAGATTGTATTAACTCTTTTTGGTGACCCATCATAGTTTCTTAGATCGTTTTGGGTTTGTAGGTTGAAGGTCAGCTAATAACTTAATTCTTTTTTTCATACAAGCTGATACTAAGCCAAGTTGTGCATCATGTATTTGTACTACATTGTTTCTTTTTAAAACATTTAGCGACTAACTTTATGCTTAATTCTATGTATATTATAATTATTGGTTTCTTGTGTCTTTCTTCCATATCAAACTCTGTGCTTCTTATAAAATGGGGTGCCATATAGGAGAATGCTGGACATACAAGGTGTTCATTGATTAAAATGAATGTATAAATGAATGATGTTTTGGTCATTCTGTCTCATCTCTGATCTTAGTGAATTTTTACTGGTGACTTTTACTTGTGACTCCACATTTTTGTAACCCTCATCAGTTTTTGATCACCTATAGATTTAAGAAACATCCTGTCTAGTTTTTTCTTGTTTTTTTTTTTTTTTTTTGAGACAGAGTCTCACTTGTTGCCCAGGCTAGAGTGAGTGCCGTGGCATCAGCCTAGCTCACAGCAACCTCAAACTCCTGGGCTCAAGCGATCCTCCTGCCTCAGCCTCCCAAGTAGCTGGGACTACAGGCATGCCCCACCATGCCCGGCTAATTTTTTCTATATATATTAGTTGACCAATTAATTTCTTTCTATTTATAGTAGAGACGAGGTCTCGCTCTTGCTCAGGCTGGTTTCGAACTCCTGACCTTGAGTAATCCGCCCGTCTTGGCCTCCCAGAGAGCTAGGATTACAGGCGTGAGCCACCGTGCCCGGCCTGTCTAGTTTTTTAAAGTCACTTATAAAAGAGGCACAATGAATAGTTCCCTAAAGATTGATCTTTCCCTTCTACTCATTTAAGTCTATCATTTAGGTTAAAACTATTCAAGGCTGGGTGTGGTGCCTCATGGCTATAATCTCAGCATTTTGGGAGGCCAAGGCATGAGGATTGCTTTGGGCCAGGAGTTTGAGACCAGTCTGGGCAACATAGTGAGACCCCATCTCTATAAAAAATAATAGCTGTGCATACTGGTACACACCTGAAGTCCTAGCATCTTGGGAGGCTGAGATGGGAGGATTGCTTCTCCTGAGCCTGGGGGTTTTGAGGATGCAGTGAGCTATGATTGTGCCACTGTTCTACAACGTAGGCAATAGAGCCAGATCCTGTCTCTTTAAAAAAAAAAAAAAGAAAACCGAACAGCATTATTTGAAATAGATAGAAATCATCATATACATTATCTTTATCAGACAGATTACTCTTGTTCTTTAAGTATCAAAAAGACCAGAACTGTGCCTGATATTGCTAACCACTCTAGCTTCAGCACCTAGCAGAGTATTAGTTAGTATTCTCTAGTCATTTGATGAACGAATGACCTGGTTTAAAAACAGTCTTCTTACCTTTGCCTATGATGTATGGCTTACATTTAGTATGAGACTTACTTGTTGGAAGAAAATACATTATAGGCAGACGTTGAAGATATTGTGAGTTCAGTTTCAGACCACCACAATAAAGTGAATTGCAATAAAGTGAGTCACAAAATTTTTTTGGTTTCCCAGTGCATATAAAAATTGTTTACACTATACTACAGTCTAGTAAGTGTACAGTAGCAATATGTCTAAAAAAAAGTACATACCTTAATTAAAAAACACATTATTGTTAAAATATGCTAATGATCATCTGAGCCTTCAGTGACTTGTAATTTTTGCTCTAAATCTTGCCTCCATGATGGTTGCTGAGTGATCAAGGTGGTGGTTGCTCAGTGTTGAAGTGGCTGTGGCAATTTCTTAAAACAACAGTGAAGTTTGCCACATTGATTGACTCTTTCACAAAAGATTTCTTTGTAGTATGTGATATTGCTTGATGGCAGTTTACCCACAGTAGAACTTCTGTCAAAATTGGAGTCAAATCTCTCAGCCACTGCTGCTCATTTATCACCTGAATTTATGTAATATTTTAAATCCTTTGTTATCCTTTCAACAGTGTTCACTGTTGAGTGAATGCATGTTCACCAAGGATAGATTACATCTCAAGAAACCAGTTTCATTGCTCATCTGTAAGAAGCAACTCATCTGTTAAAGTTTTTTTTTTTTTTTTTTTTTTTTTTTTTTGAGGCAGAGTCTCACTCTGTTGCCCCGGCCTAGAATGCCGTGGTGTCAGCCTACCTCACAGCAACCTCAAACTCCTGGGCTCAAGCAATTCTTCTGCCTCAGCCTCCCGAGTAGCTGGGACTACAAGCATGTGCCACCATGCCTGGTTAATTTTTTCTATATATGTTTTTAGTTGGCCAATTAATTTCTTTCTATATTTAGTAGAGACAGGGTCTCGCTCTTGCTCAGGCTGGTTTCAAACTCCTGGCCCTGAGTGATTTGCCTGGGCCTCCGAGAGTGGTAGGATTACAGACATGAGCCACCGTGCCCAGCCATCATCTGTTAAAATTTTATCATGAGATTGCAGGAATTCAGTCCCATCATCAAGGTCCACTTCTAATTCTAGTTTTCTTTCCATTATCTCATCTGCAATGACTTCTTCCACTGAAGTCTTGAAACCTTCAGAGTCATCCATGAGTGTTGCAGTCACTGTCTTCTAAATTACTGCTAATGTTGAAATTTTGACCTCTTTTCATGAATCATAAATGTTCTTTTTTTTTTTTTTTTTTGAGGCAAAGTCTCACTCTGTTGCCCTGGCTAGAGTGCTGTGGCGTCAGCCTCGCTCACAGCAACCTCAAACTCCTGGGCTTAAGCAATCCTTCTGCCTCAGCCTCCTGAGTAGCTGGGACTACAGGCATGTGCCACCATGCCCAGCTAATTTTTTTATGTATTTTTAGTTGGCCAATTTCTTTCTATTTTTAGTAGAGATGGGGGTCTCACTATTGATCAGGCTGGTTTCGAACTCCTGACCTTGAGTGATACACCCACCTCAGCCCCCCAGAGTGTTAGGATTACAAGCATGAGCCATTGAGCCCAGCCCATAAATGTTCTTAATAACATCTAGCATGGTAAATCTTTTCCACAAGGTTAACTTACTGTGTCCGCATCCTTCAGAGGAATCACTATTTATGACAGCTGTAGTGTTACAAAATGTATTTCTTAAATAAGAAGACCTGAAAGTCAGAATTACTCCCTGATTCATGGGCTGCAGAATATATGTTGTGTTAGCAGGCATGAAAGCATTAATCTCCTTGTATGTCTCAATTAGAACTCTTGGGTGACCAAGTGCATTGTCTGTCAGTGGTAATATTTTGAAAGGAATCTTCTTTTTCTGAGCAGTAGGTCTCAACATTAGGCTTAAAATATTCAGCAAGCTATGCTGTAAATAAATGACCCATCATCCAGGCTTGTGGTTCCATTGATAGGGCACAGGTGGAGTACATGTGTCATAATTCATATTTTTGGAATGGTAAAAGCATTAGCTTCAACTTACAGTCACCAACTGCATTAGCCCTTAACAAAGTAGTCAGGGTGTCTTTTGAAGCTAGGCATTGATTTTTCCTCTCTGGCCATTAAAGTTATAGAGGGCATCTTCTTCTAATAGAAGGCTGCTTGGCCTACATTGAAAACCAGTTGTTTAGTATGCCACCTTCATCAATTATCTTAGCTAGATCTTTTGGATAACTTGCTACAGCTTCTACACCAGCACTTGAGGCTTTACCTTTTATGCTATGGAGATGGCTTCTTTCCTTAGACCTCGTGAACCAACTTCTGCTAGTTTCCAACTTTCTTCTGCATCTTTTTCATCTCTCACTCTTCATAGAATTAGAGAGAGTTAGGGCCTTGCTCTGGATTAGGCTTTGGCTTAAGGGAATGTTGTGGCTGGTTTGATCTTCTATCCAGACCACTCAAACTTTATTCTTAATATCAGCAGTAATGTTGTTTTGCAATATTGTTGTGTCTCAGAGAATAGGGAGGCTGGAGGGGAGGGATAGTGACAGGGGAATGGCTGATCAGTGAACAGTCAGAAGTTATACAATATTTGTTGATTAAGTTAGCCATTTTACATGGGTGTGGTTCATGGCACCTCAAAACAATTATAGTAGTGACATCAAAGATCACTGATCACAGATCTACATAATGGATATAATAATAATGAAAAGATTAAAGTATTGCAAGAATTACCACAATATGACACAGATACAAAGTGAGCACATGCTTTTTAAAAAATGGCGCTGATAGACTTGCTTGACTCAAGGTTGCCACCAACATCATTTTATAGAAAAAATATCTATGAATTGTAATAAAATGAAGTATGCTTTTCCTTAGAAATAATGTCTTTTATTATTTTCAAATAAGGATATCATCATATTAAAACCATGTACTAGTCAGGTGTGATGACACATGCCTGTACTCCCAGCTACTTGGGACTGAGGCCAGAGGATCCCTTGGACCCAGGAGTTTGAGTCCAGTCTGGACAACACAAGACCTTGTCTCTTAAAAATAAAAACCATAAACTAACTGAAACAAGAGGATGTCCTTCTTAGATGTCAGTTTTAGCATCTTTAGCTGTCTGAAACAATTCTATAGACTCCTACACTGAAACATAAACTTGTCACAAAGCAGGTAGAGTCTTAGATGAGATTTATAATTATGTTACTAAGTTTATTAAGGCCAGGCACGGTGGCACACACCTGTAATTCTAGCACTCTGGGAGGCTAAAGCAGGAAGATGTCGTTAGCTCAGGAGTTCAAGACAGCCTGAGCAAGAGTGAGAACTCGTCTCAGGAGGATTGCTTGAGCCCAGGAGTTCAATGTTGTAGTGAGCTATAATGATGCTGCTGCATGTCTCCCCCCACTCCCCCTCCCCCCAAATTGCTACACTCTTCTTTTTATTTTAATGGATAAGAATAATAGAATAACAGTGGAGCTTTAAATGGAATGTTCATAATCTGAAAGCTGCCTAAAGCTATTTGCTATCTGGAGCAAACAGCAGTACCTCTGAGTCTGATCTTTCCTAGGGTTTAGAGAACTGATGTGAAAAAAAGCTAGTATAGAAGCCAGGCGTCGTTAACTAGAAATAGTAGATGAATCTTTCAAGAATTTGTAGATTCTTATGAATAAAAGAAGAGGGTTGAAATGGTTGATAATACAAACTTTTTTGGGAAAAAAATTAGCACAGTATGCACACAATTAGCACACAAATTAGCAGAAGTGTCATAGTTTAATCAGAACAGTATTCTGTATTATGCCACTTGGTTGTTTTTAAAAAAATAAAAAAAATTACTTCATCAAACAGTAATTTTAGTCTTAACTTTTTTTTACAGCTGGTATTTAAAGATGCTACAGTGCTGTAAATGTAAGCAGTGGTTTCATGAGGCTTGTGTGCAATGCCTTCAAAAGCCAATGCTATTTGGAGACAGGTGAGAAGGGCATCTGACTTTTACTGACTGATTAATTTTTGTGGCTTTTTAATTGTAGTTTCAGATTTCTAAAAATAGTTTGAACAGTGATTTAGAAAGGAGTGACTTCAGAGGGAAAATGTTGAATAATATTCTATTTATTTATTTAGCCAGTCAAATTTAGTGGTGGGGGGGTTGATACCAACTTAAGTGACACTAATGTTAATAAGTTCTGATAACCCACTGCCATCGGACCAGCCTGAATAATATACTTTACATACATATAATATTTGTGCTTTTTGATATTATTTCATGAAGCTTTTGAGTACTTTCATTGATTACATTTGTTCTTATTGCCCCACAGTGCTCTAAACTATTCTTATTGGTACCTTTCCTTTAAAGAACTTTGCAAGGATCCTATGATAGAGAATTGGAAAAGGCCATAGAATCTTGTTATAGACACAGTTATACCTTAAATATAAAGAATTTCTAAAAGCAGTCTACTGTTCTTTTTGTATTAGGATAATGTGGAATAGCAGAGTGAGCTCCAGAAATAAAAATTAATGATAAATTACTAAATTTGGCATTAAAAAACCTGGGTTTATATCTTGGCTTATGCCACTTACTTTTCTCTCTGACTTTAGAAAGGTCTTTTGCTTGTATCTTTTTGGGCTTATCTTCTTACCAGTTATTTTGAACATTGAATGAAATGATGTATATGGAGTCAGCCATCACAGTTCTAACACACTCAAGCCATTAATAAACTATGGGTGCATGTAAATCCTTCTGTGAATTTCAAAGGTCTCTAATGGTTCAAAAAGTTTTCCCTTCCCTTCAGGCATAAACAGTTTCATTTATTATTAGAAAAGAAATTAGTTAAATTATAGTTTCATAATTCAAATTATATTTTGATTTGAGTTTCAGTCCTTACATCAACTGTAGGATATTCATTTGCTCAATATGTGCTGTTACTGTTAAATAATTTATCCTTAATTACTCAGTATAAAACTTTCCTCCTTTTCTATAGGTTTTATACATTTATTTGCTCTGTCTGCAGTTCTGGACCAGAATACCTCAAACGTCTACCATTACAGTGGTAAGCATGGAAATCTGTGTTTTTTTAAAAAAAGAAGCCATATTTTTAAACCTACAAGATGAAACTTTCTATATATAATTACATGGCTTAAATAAAAATTTGATCTTCTTTATGCATGCCTTTATTTCTTTTATTTATCCTAAAGCCTGATGTCACCTTTACCAAGGATTATCTACCATTTTGCTAAATTAATAAGACTATTCATTGTGGAGTGGCATAAATATAGCTTTCAGACAACTTTTAAATCTTCAAAATTCTTATTCTTGTTTCTAATTCTTTGGACCTTCAGAATAGCATATAGTAGAAGAGAGATAGGTATAACAAATATGCCAATTTCAGCTTCACTGTAGTAATTCTTGTGCTACACTGTGCTATACTTGTGCTACAGTGGAAAGTGTTGAATTTTGGAAATTTACTAATAAAATGCTTATAATAAGCATTAACAAATTTTTGCTGTGTTTTACGTATTTTAGGAACATAAGAGTTAACTTATGAATCATGTAAAATAAAATCTAGTAAAGTCTCATCTATTCTGTAGCTTATATGTATTAATGGTAATGAAAACACCAAACTTTTGATCATAGGTTGTATTTTCTTAAAGTCAGATCTTTGAATGCATCTGAAGAAATAATTCAAATGTTTTAGTTTAATTCAAATAGGACAAGTAAATATTTAGTCAGTGTTTTCCAGTTATTTTCATATGTAATGATTTTTTGTTTTGTGAATATGACTTGTGATATACTTGTGATTATCTATCTACCCGAATACTTCACTTTTGATTTTTAATCACTGTTTTACAAAGAAACTGTATGATTTTCTTAATAGTAACTAAAACCATTGTTTTCACATATTTTGATTATTTTTGGATTCCAGGGTAGATATAGCACACCTATGCCTTTACAACCTAAGTGTTATTCACAAGAAGAAATACTTTGATTCTGAACTTGAGCTTATGACATACATTAATGAAAACTGGGATAGATTGCACCCTGGAGAGGTAGGTGGTCTTAGAGCTAACTTCATTAGCTACTTGATGTCTTTTTTGTTTTGTTTTTTGTTAAAAACAACTAAGACACATGTATAAGTCAGCAACTAAAGTAGAATTTTATTTTTAGCTATGGGGAGAAATAACTTTGGTAAAGATATCAGGATCAGCCTTTTCATCCTCCTGTGTTTATTGCCTGTAGAGTCTGGAAAATTGTAGGAGGAAATAAATTATTTGATTTTTCCACTTTCTGAAGTAAGAATTATTGTAGTTAAAGATAGAAGGGAGGGAGAAATTGTTAGTTTTTGTGTATCTTACTCATGATTCTGCCTCCTTTTCCTCAAGTTTTCTACAAACTTAGAGATGTAACCAACATTCTTTCTTCCTTTCTTTTTGGTACTCCTTTATATATCTCTGATTTCCAGGAAAGATGGGATACATTGATAGTGTTAGAATAATGAATTATAGAGTGAAGCTATCTGAGTTGAAAATTATATCCCTTCATTCTGACATCCCGTGTTATTTCTTATTTGCCAAGTGTAACTACCTATGCTGGTTTACAAAGAGTTGTTTTTTAAAGGAATATAAAAGTAATACATGTTCATTGAAGATTTTGAAATTATAGAATAGCACAAAGAGGAAAATAACTAGAAGTAAGTTTAATAGTTCCCTTATTTTTAGCATTTATTTAGAATTATTGAAATACAAATGTTTACTATGCTTAGGTTAAAACTAACAAATTTGTTTTATAATAGGTGGAATTTGATGTGTGCATTTTAGTCATGCAATCTTTTTTGAGGTAAAAATTTTGCAAACTGATGAGTAACTTAGGAAGAATTTCTGCATTTGTAGCTTTTAGACATGAAGGAATATATAAGGTTCATACCTAATAGGATGACAAAGGGTTTTTGGGTGGGTTTTATGGGGCACCTGGAAAAATATAATGCATGTTTTTTCAGTTGGTAGATGAGCTCCATAAAATAAATACCTACAGGATACTTAAGTTTAAAATTTAGGGTATTGAAATTCATTTGACATAGATGTTTTGAGTGTTAGATAATAGACTAAAATACTAATTTTTGTTAAGTTCACTGTTAAATGCTTCTTTTTGTAGATGAAGTTTGAGAGAAAGTGAGTGACCTATAAATTTCATAAATTTTAATAAACTAGTAAGAGAAAAAAGTAAGAGATAAGGCACTAGTAGTGACTGTAGTGCCTTATCCCTTAGTCATCTTTATAGTCATTTTAACATTTGATGCTCTAATGTATTTATTTAAAAATCCTTTCTAGCCATGATTTTTTTAGCACTTCATATGCAGATATATACCTCTTAGTACATTTTATGTTTCATGGAATGAAATTCTACAGTAGTTACTTGATGTAGATAGTAGATATATATGTAAAAACTCAAGTTGTATTTATTTCAAATGCTATAATGTTTTGCTAAGATTTAAATTTTCATGTTTGGATTTTATTTTTGAGGCTGAAAATATAAAACAAAAATGACAGTCTATTTTTCAAGAAAAGAGTTCAATTTATGAATTTCAGGTATCTTGGCCCTAGTCGAACTTCTGATATATATTAGAAAAAATTTACTTCAGCAATAGATACGTTTTTCTTGTTTGTCACCTGTGAGGTAATATCTTAGAAATAAAAAAAAGTTTTACTTTTTAAAAGAGTACTTCCATTTTTTTAGCCATCAAATTTATTATCAGAACAAGTGACTACTAATCATTTCCCATTGGTCTTTCTCTTAACTAAAGAAAGAAAATATCCAGACTTCTTAGGTAAATATCTCATTTGCAGATTCTAGTTATTGACAGATTAAGGCTCGGGTTTTTAATTCTCTATATTAATCTTTTACATCTTTTTTTTTTTTTTTTTGCCAAAGCTACAAACTCTCACTGCAGCTCTTTTACATCTTTATACTGTAATTATAATTAGATTTTAGGATGAGATCTTAATAATAAAGAGATCATAAAATTAATGTGGGTCAGTGATGTTTATTCAGTGTTTTTAATTTAGTTTACTTTTATTTTATTTTATTTTACTTTTTTGAGACAGTGTCTTGCTTTGTTGCCCCGGCTAGAGTGCAGTGGTGTCATCATAGCTCGCAGCAACCTGAAACTCCTGGGCTCAAGTGATCCTCCTGCCTCAGTCTCCCAAAGTGCTAGGTTAACAGGTGTGAGCCGCTGGCCCGGCCACTGATTGAGTTTATTTTTGTTTTCGGTGATATATACCAGCAAAGATAAGAAACAAAGGTAATGCAAATAATGAATTATTCCAAATTGAAGAGTGAATCTTTAGTTAACTGAAATTGAATTGTAAATTGGATTTTGTCACTAATCCAAATTTAGTTAACCAAAATTTCTTTTTGTTTATATTCTTGTTCAAAATCTATTTTGTTTATATTTCATAATCGAGTACCTTGAAGTATTTTGAGTCATTTTGAACATCTATTCTTATTATACATAATATAGAATATATAAGCACTTTCCCTAGAAATTTCTCTTCAAAAATGAAACAAAGCACAATAGGAGTTGTGATTTTACTTTCTTTAAAATGTGGTTTCCTCCCTCTCCCCACCCAAGTAAAAGAAAAAAAAATCTTGTGATGATGTGAGAAATTGATTTGAGGTGTTTTAAAATGGCATTTTGCTTAGGAATATATATTGCACACGTAGTCACAGGGAGGCACTTACCCCTATTTACTGTTCCTGAACTTTGATTTTGTATATGATGATAATGGCTGAACTTTAATGTTATTTTTATGTTATTTAGGAAACCTAGTAAATACTTACATTTGTAATTACTTGGCTGTAATTACATATTGAGTCAGTGGTATTCTGTTAAGTGTATTGTGCTTTTTTTTTCCTGATTGTCATATAGGAAATACTATGACCTTTTTGTTTTAAAGACTATTTTTTAGAGCAGATTGGGGTTGTCCCTTTCCATCACATGTGTTGGTGTTGCCTCCTCCATTATCACCGTCCCCACTGGAGTGGTACATTAGTTACAATTTATTGAACCTACATTGACACATCATTATCATCTAAAGCTGTGTCTTCTTTTAGTACCAAAAAGAAGTTTCAAAAATGTTAAACTTCTTTTGAAGATAAGATCCTTTTCATATTGAAAGACAAATTTAACATTGATTTATTATATATCTTTTTCTTAGTTTACTTTTGTGTAGTATTGTCGGAAAGAAAAGCTAAAACTTTTGAACCATATTAAAAGATGATAGTTTTATTTCCTTATGTGGTTTTTGTATGTCTTTACAACTTAATGCCTTAATGATTATCGTGTAGACTGAGTGTAGCTGTTTCAGGAACTATATATAATATATTTTGAAATGTTTTCTTTGAGGTAGTAAAAATACTTTATAACATATAAAGCCACAATAAAGTTTTCCTAAAGTTTTTATTAAAATGAAGTCTCACGTTGTAGCAGATTGTTTTGAGGAGTTTAAAATGAGTTTATTAATACATTTTGGAATCTATATATTGTCATTTGTTTTTGATTCCCGATGTGATTTGAAATCCTAGTTCTGTACAACAACCTACTTTTCTGTCAACTGTGGTCTTAAATTTTAAAAACTCTAAAGTTGATAGCAGAGGAATGTATTGAGTACTACCTCACCTTTGAGGGAGATAGGGAGAAAAGCTTAGGTGAAACTCAGTGAAGTATTATAGTGGAAATGATATTAAAGGAAAATGTATAATAGAGATAGCATAGTACTTTTAAGTAAAAATTTAAGAAATCTGATTAACAATAATACTTGGGTGGCTGGGTGCGGTGGCTCACGCCTTTAATCCTAGCTCTCTGGGAGGCCAAGGTGGGGCGTATTGCTCAAGGTCAGGAGTTGGAAACCAGCCTGAGCAAGAGTGAGACCCTGTCTCTACTATAAATAGAAAGAAATTAATTGGCCAACTAATATATATAGAAAAAATTAGCCGGGCATGGTGGCGTATGCCTGTAGTCCCAGCTACTCGGGAGGCTGAGGCAGAAGGATTGCTTGAGCCCAGGAGTTTGAGGTTGCTGTGAGCTAGGCTGACGCCATGGCTCTCACTCTAGTCTGGGCAACAAAGTGAGAGACTGTCTCAAAAAACAAAAAAACAAAAAAAACCAAAACCAGTAATACTTGGGGCCTTGAGTATTATACACTAAGCACATATAGTGAGTGTGTAGGTTGGCAAAAAATAACTTAAGCTGTTAGCTTAAGCCTATGTGGTATGAAACTCAATATTGGTAATAGAAGAGAAGAGTTATACTATAAATAATAGCATTTATGTCTGTGTAGAAATATACAAACATGAAAGTAAAAATATAGTATGAGATTAGTATCTTGAGAGAGAAGAGCAGAAAGGATTAATCTCTTGAAGATTATATTGTAAACTTCATCTGAGATTAGTATCTGGAGAGAGAGGAGCAAAAAAGATTAATCTGTTGAAGATTATATTGTAAACTTCACGGTCAGATGGAAGGCATATGATATGATGCTCTTCAATGCAGATTATCTGATATATACGATAATAGTTGTACTTTTAGTTTGTAAAACACAGAAAAGGAGCCCTTTGCCCCTTTATGTAGTTAAAATGTACAGTTCTGTGCAAAATAGTCTGTGGAGTGCTGAAGGACTTTACAGATACAATTTCAGAGAAACCATACAGAATAAGTATCAAAAGAAAGTAGGGTTAAGGCTGGGTATGGTGGCTGATTTCTGTAATCTGAGCACTTTGGGAGGCTGTAGCTGGAGGATTGCTAGAGGCCAGTAGTTAAAGATCAGCCTGATTAACATAGTGAGAACCCCTTTTTTACAAAAAATAGAAAAATTAGCCAGGCATGCTGGGATGGCCTTGTAGTCCCAGCTACTTGGGTGGCTGAGGCAGGAAGGTTGCTTGAGCCCAGGAGTTTGAGGTGACAGCGAGCTGTTATGACACTACTGCACTCTAGCTGGGCAACACAGTGAGAGCCTGTCTCAAAAAAAAAGGTAGAGTTCATTGTCCACTGTGGTTTTCAAAAGTAAAAAGGAGTGGGTTTCAGAAATTAGAAACTGAGTTTTGTTGTTGATTGTTGGCAAAATTGTAGAGCAGATTTTTCAGATATATTCATGAAGATTTAAAAAAATAATAAGGGAAAACTCTTATTAAAATAAGTCATGTTAAATATACTTATTATTTTTGATATGCTTAGCAACACTGGTTTGTCACATGCTGTCTGGGCATGGTGTAGGCATAGCATAACTTGATTTCAGTTAAGATTAAAATGTGAGTTGGTTAAAGTAAAAATTAAATGAAAAATAGTAACAAAGTCAATGCTTTGGAGATATTCTTGAGGGAGACTCTAATGGAAGGCCACAGGGTTCTCTTTGTCTCTACCCTCACAAGGAGAATGACACAATTAAGAGAAAAGATTATCTGGAATAGTGAGCTGCAAACAAAATGAAATTAACAACAGTTATAGAGTTTTGCTTTTAGGGTAAACACAAACAACAGTACCTATGTATGATAGGAGATACTTGATTTGATAGCAGTTGATCTGGTAATATTTCAGAGTTGTGGTGTTGAGGGAGGAGTAGGATGAGGATATAATTAGCCAAAAGCTTAACATGGAATAATCATGTGATGTGATTGTTAAAAATGTTAACCTAATCTTATACTTAGACATGGTGGCTGCTTTCAGATATTTGAAGAGCTGTCTTATAAAAGAGCTCCAGGGGGAAAGGTTTTGCCCTGTGGAATGGGCTTCCTTGGTCAGTGCCTCATCAGCTTTTATCAATGGTAATAATTAAGCCATAATTGAATGACCATCTCTACTGCAAAAGAGATTGCAATATTGGTGGAAAGTTGAATTAGATCTAGGGTCTTATTTGGGCTTTAAAGTCTGATTCTATCATTCCTCCTTTAATGGTAATTATCATCGGAGGAGATTACAGATTACAAATTAGGAGATTGTATAATATGCAGATATAATATAAAGGAATGAGCAATTTAATATGTATGTATTTTTTAGCACTGAACATGTTGGCACAGAATAGGCTGTCAGTGAGTGTTGAATGAATGGACTTAGTAGGGTTTAGATTCTAGCTCTCTCGCCAACATACCAGGTGAATTTGAGCAGTTCATTTAACCTTCATATTTGTGAATTCATCTGTAAAATAGAGTTGGAGTAGATGACTTATAAGTCTCTTCTAGCTTCAGCATTCTATTTGGAAGATTTGTATGCTTTTTCACTTAAAGCAGTTCTGAGGTTTGGTAGTTTCAACTGGTAAAGAACATACTGGCTGAAATTTTAAAAGTCAACTGTGATATTATATTTTGGAAGTTTTTTTCTTTTTTAAGTTTTTGTGGCTTTAATTTAGGATGGTCCTTTTATAATTTATAATTTTTTGCTAATGGGCCCTAGTCTTTAACACTTGGAACAAGAGGCAAAAAGATCTTTGAGGAAAAGCCCTATTGGAACAAGACAATATTTTCTAGAATTGAATATTTAGATTTTAAAATGATTTTTGTTGATGAAAAATTACTGAGCTGGTTAGGGCTAACTAAAGTCTGTAATTGTTATGAAAGTAAAATTGTCCATGTTCACAGTATTTTTAAAAATTTTAGAGATTATTAGTTTATGCTACTATTTAGAGGTATTGGGAAATAAAATGGTAATTTTTTTCATTCCTACTTACTCCTTCCTGTTGAAATCTATTAGAAGCTTTTATGGTACATACTAAAATAATTCTAATGTATTATTTCCCTAGGTTCTAGAATTTTAAAAAATTTAACAATAGCTAATAATAAAGTCCCACTTTTGTAGTGCTCTGCAATTTACAGTTCTTTCACATATCGTTTGATTCATATAATCAATGAATAAAGCAATTAGTGCAGGATTTATACTGCCCCTTTTATAGATGAGAAAGTAAGTCTTGAGAGGTTAAATGACCATAGATCACATAGTCAGTAAGGATTTGGCATTAGAACTTAGGTCTTCTAACTACCAGTCATTACACTTTTCTTTCTTCTACATCACATTGCCTCTATCTAGCACCTGTGTATTACTAATTGATGAAATTATAGTGCGTTAAATTGTTTCTTGATACTTCACAGCTGGCAGACACACCAAAATCTGAAAGATATGAGCATGTTCTGGAGGCATTAAATGATTACAAGACCATGTAAGTTGATTTATTTTATGTATCCCTATGAGGGAGACATTTGTTAGTATAAGGAATAATAGCATTATTTAAAAATTGTGGGATTGGTATATAAAACAAGTACGTACCATCTTAAACTTTTTTTTTAATGTCCTATTCTCATTCAGTGATGTCCTACTCTCATTCAGAGTAAAGCAGTGATTCTGAGGGGTTGGAGAAGGAAAGAATAATCTTCCTGAGAATGGTGGGTGGTAGGTGTATCAGTATCTCCAGGGGGAATTTGGCTTGTTCCATTGAAAAAGCATATTCAGCAATAACTTACTTCTATAATGTAATCTACTGAAAGTAAAATAAAATTTTGTTAGCTGGTGGGAATAGCAAAAGATGGGAAAATAATTGTGGAGAATATGGTTTTTTTTAAAAAGATTGAGATTTCTATGGTTTTAAGATTAGTTATTGCCATCAGTTAAGGAAAAGTAATATTACTGGTTTGAGTGGTCTAAGATAATTGACGTTTGGATATGTTATTGTATAAATCTTCTCCCCTCCTTTTTTTAACCGGCGTATCTATATTTCTTGAAAATATTTTAAAAATGCAGCAGAAATTTTATAAATGCGTGTGCTGACTCCAGTAAACTTTTGAATTATATTATAAAATTTGTTTGCAAAAAGTTGCTGCTTTTAATTTAACAGCATTTCCTCTTTATATAATATTATAATTACTAGTGGCTAGATCTTTAGATCAGCTCAAAAAGCCATAATGTACCTGAACAATTATTGTACTTGTAAAAATATTTTATAGGACAATGAATTCTGAATTTCACCTTAGGATACTAGAAATACTTCTGTTCCTGTTATTGTAGAAATGGAGGCTCCCCTTTTTTTAAACCTACAATAAGTAGAAGAACATTCCAAATAATTGGTAGAGGTTCTTGTGCCAAGGCAGGCTTCATTACAGCTAAGATAGGTGGAGATGTTTGGGAATAAGGTCCCTAAGCACTAAAGGAAAGGGCTAAGGAGCATATTTTTCAGAGGCCCAAATCCATCCTCTACTGAAATAATACTTCTTTGCTCCAGGTTATTTCCAATTCCAGATCTGGCACACCAGACACTCATTTTATTTCCTGGGCCTCTAGGATTGATACCCTATAATACTTCATTTATTTTGACCAGGGTTTCTCTACTCAGATCCAATTTGAAATAGAATTCTTCTTTTCCTAAAACGTTTTTGAGATATTTCTAACAGATGACATGCAAATATGGAAAAACATATTGGGACTAAATGATACGATTCTTTGCTCTTTATTCATTTAAGAACTTAGTTGCCATGTTTAAAAAAACAAGTAGACATGTGCTCTTCTCCCTTCTTGTCCTATCCCTTCCCCCCGTCATATTCTACTGTAGACTGGCTCTGGGCCACATAAGGAAAGCAAGGGGAAAGGGTAGTATTGGGTGCTCTTTCATGTATAAGGGACTTATATCTGAAAGTTATGAGTTAGGGTCTGCCATGTATATGTGTTCAGTTTTTAAAATTTTAGTTAATGTCTTTAAAAATTTAGGTTTATGTCTGGGAAAGAAATAAAGAAGAAGAAGCATTTGTTTGGGTTGCGAATTCGTGTTCCTCCTGTGCCACCAAATGTGGCTTTCAAAGCAGAGAAAGAACCTGAAGGAACATCCCATGAATTTAAAATTAAAGGCAGAAAGGCATCCAAACCTATATCTGATTCAAGGTAAAAGTTGATCTGTGGCTTAGTTTTTCTCTTTAGCTTATTTGTAACTAAATGTGTATATTATTTAGTGTCATTAGTATATTTGAAAGTACAAGTGGCACTTACCCAGCTTTTTTTCTTGTCAATAATTTCTTGCTTAGACAAGGGTACAAAAAGTTGATGTTAGATGCTTGTTTATTTAGATCTTTGGCCTTCCAGGAATAGACCCTATTGATTTTTTTTTTTTGGACTTTGAAATTCTGTGTGGGAAACTGTTGATTTTGTTAGCAAACAGCTTAAATATTGGCCTATTCATTTGTTTGTTCGCTTATTTTTCATTTATTCATTGGTTCATTCAGTAAATTTATCAAGTGCCTTATTATCTAACTGCTGGGGATATAATGACAAGGGAGATTTTCCTTCTGCCCTCTAGGAATTTACATTATAGTGTGGATGTGACAAACAAGGTGACAAACAAGTAAAATAATTTATCAAGTGCCTTATTATCTAACTGCTGGGGATATAATGACAAGGGAGATTTTCCTTCTGCCCTCTAGGAGTTTACATTATAGTATGGATGTGACAAAAAACAAAGGTGACAAATAAGTAAAATAATTACAGATCATGCTAGTGCCATTTAGGAAATAGCATACTATTTTATTTTAGACTTTGCTGGGATGGATAGAGATGGGGGCATGGTACTTTGAAAATATAAGGAAGGACTATATAAGATAATGTTTAATAATCTGTCATGAGATTAGTTTAAAAATAAAACAAATTTTTTAAAAAAGGTACTATTTAGGCCACGTGTGGTGGCTCACGCCTATAATCTTAGCACTCTGGGAGGCTGAGGTGGGAGGATCACTTGAGCTTGGGAGTTTGAGACCAGCCGAGCCACATTGAGACCCTGCTGTACAAAAAATAGAAAACTTTGCTGGGCGTGGTGGTGCACGCCTGTAGTTCCAGCTACTTTTTGGGAGGCTGAGGCAGGAGGATTGCTTGAGCCCAGGAGTTTGAGGTTGTAGTGAGCTACAGTGAGGCTACTGTACTCTAGCCAGGGCGACAGAGTGAGACTCTGTCTAAAAAAAAAAAAAAATTAAACTGCAACTTAAAGAATGAGAATGATTTAACAATGTGAAAAACAAAGGGAAAATACTCTAGATAGCAGAAGTAACAAGTGCAAAGGCCATGAAACATGTTCTAGGAACTCACAGGAGACTAGTACGGTATGAATGAGGACTAGAGAGATGTTGGGCTTCATCTTGTAGAGTTTTGTATGTTTCATAAGGAAGTTGGGTTATTTTCTAAGAATAATCAGCCACTTAGGGGATTTAATTATCTTTTAAAAGTACTTATGGATGCTGTTTTGAGATTGGATAGTATAGAAGCATGAAAAAATTAAGACTCTTGCATTTGTCTAAGTGAGAGATAGACGATGGGTGCTTGTGCAGGGGTTAGTGGAGAGAAATAGATTTGAGATCTATATTGGAGGCAGAGTTAATTGGACTTGCTAATGAGTTCAATTTATAAAAAAAGGGAAGAATCAATTAAATGATACGCAGGTTTCTGGCTTGAGCAACTGGTGGGTGGTGGTGTCTGTTGCTTAGAACAGATTTTGGCACAATGATTAAAGCATTCTTCAGTTTCATCCTCAATGAGTTTGAGGTTCTTATGAGGGGTATCTAAGGGATAATATGAGATATAGACAATTATATATGTAAGTTAGGAGCTCATAGCAGAGGTTAGGTCAGGTGACAGAAATTTGGAAGCTAATTTATAAAGCCATGAAAATTAGTGAAATTACCTCGTAATCAAATAGAGAAGAAAATGTGGCCCAGAATAATGTCCTGATATCATTTATAAATTTGGAGCAGGTGAAATAAACAAAGGAGACTAAAAATAAGTGATCAGTGAGATAGAGGAAACCAGGAAAGTTTGATGTCATGCAAACCAAAAGAAAGAGTATTTTAAGAAACATGAGTATATGAAATTGTATTGAATGCTAATGAGAAGTGGATTAAGATGAGAGAAAAATGTTTATTGGATAAGCCAACATGTTTTTAGTGACCTTGAGAAAGCAATTTCTTTGAACTAGTAAATATGGAAACCAGATTGCAGTGGGTTCAAGAATGATTGAATCCAACACTGCCCAATTTATATGTAAAAACTGGGCTTCTCCTGCATATGAGGGACATAGGGAGATTTAACAGAACAATAATAATAACAGTAAAGGAAAGGGGGGAAATAGGAAACTGTCTTTAAGAATTCTGAATGAAAAGGGAGAGAGTGGGAAGGGTTGTGTTAACACTCAGAAGTTTTCCTGTGCAGGGAAGCAGACAAATAGAATGGCAGCTGAAGGAAGAGAGGGATGGGACTAGTCAAGTGATGATTTTTTAAAAAAATAGATGAGAGATAATTGGAACCTGTTTTTGTGTGCTAGTAGGAATGATCCAGTGGAGAAGAAGAGATTGGTGTAGGAGAGAGAGGAACTAATTGAAGATGTTGTAAAGTCTTTGAGAAGCCAAATGAGAAGGGATCTAGAGCCTAAATGTGGGAATGGCCTTTTATAGGAGGAGAAACATCCTTCTGATGAAATGAGGTGAATAAAGAGAAGATGAGTACAGATGCTGATTCTGTTATAGTGGACAGTTGGAAGATGATTAAAGTTCTTGCCTGGTAGCATCTATTTTCTCAATGAAATACGAGGCAAAGATAGCTGAGAGGGTTGTACGGAGAGGGAGATTTAAGGTAAATTAAAGGTATGAAATAGTCATCTTGGAGTAAGAAAATGTAATAATTATAGAAAGTGTTTTTAATGTGTCATAGTCATTTGAAGAGTGTAATAAAGTAGATGCTATAAGTTTTCTGAAGGAAAGTATGCTTATTATTCCTTTCACTTTTAAATTTTATCACTCTAATCCTTTTCCAGCAGTTGCCCATATTAGGAATCAGAAAAAAGAATTCCACAAACTTTTTCATTCCTTTCATGATTTTGACAGGATGCTCTATCTATGGTAGCTATCAGGTCATCTGATGCCACCAGATAAGGGTTCAACTTTCTTTAAAAGCATCCTCAGTTCTTCTGGGCCCTATGTATGGATTGGTTCTTTAGTTTTAGAGTACTTTCTTTAGTCCAGCGGTCCTTTATAAATGCTATGTTGATCATCTTTCCAAAAATGTACAAATCCTTCCATCTTATCCTTGAGATTTTTGATTGTAGGTCTAGTTCTGCTTTGTTTTTCTAGCTCGCCTATTTTTTCCGGCCTCGTACTTCTACCTTTTCCCCCTGATCCTACTTTGGCATCTCCAGGGGTAGAGTTTTTTTCTGTTTTTTTCATCCATTCATCTCTTTCTAGCCTATTTTATAGTATTGTCCCTTTTCTCTGTTTTTCTTAATTGAATTTTCCTGGATTACTTTCTTATAGCACTTACCCTATTTTATTTGCTTGCTTGTGTACACATTTGGTACCTTCTAACTATATTGTGAATCCCTTGGCACTGGGAACATCTTTGTATCCCTGTTATTTAATAGATCCTTTTTGCAGTAGCTGTATTTGAGTAACTGAAATAGGTGTTCTGTATATTGCTTTTTTTTTTCTTTTTTCTTGCTTTCTATTAATTAGAGATGTCTTTGATTATTGTACTTTTTTCCTTCCTATTGCTTGGTACTTGGCTTTATGTTTCAAAAATAGTTTTTTAGCTCTTGATAATTTTTCTCTTTGAATAACTCCTTGCCAATGTGAAGGAGTCCTTACTCTTTTCTTCTTACATTCTGCCACTCTGGGCTTCATTTGCTTTCTGATAGTGTCATTCAAGAATCCATGTATATTTATCTTTAAAGGAAGCCTTTCTTGGTAGCTACTATAATTTGAACAAAGATACTTCCTGGCTTCATGGGGTTAACTGTTAAATTCATAGTCATTTTTAATAGTACATTCTTGAAACACCCCCCAAGTAGTAACAACCTAAACTGAATAATTGAACTTTTATTAGGAGTTTTGAAATTTTCTATGCAATATAGTTGTCTGATTTTTTTTCTTGTTTCTTTTTAAAATCTTTAGGTGGTATATATTTTTCAGAATTATATTAAAGACAACATTTTTTTCCTGAAACCTTTCATAATGTAAATACCTTTTAAGTCAAGAAACATTTATTTAAATTAGAATGTATTATCTATGCAGTTGACTAAACTTGTGGATTCAATTTATAGTTAATATAGTTTTTGTTACCATTAATATAAAATAATAAAAATATAATATGTGTATACCTAATAATATACATAGAGCCATTGTCTTTTTGTTTTCTCTATGCAGAGATTAAATACATAATATTTTTCTGTTTCAGGGAAGTAAGCAATGGCATAGATAAAAAAGGAAAGAAAAAATCTGTAGGTCGCCCACCTGGCCCATATACAAGGAAAATGATTCAGAAAACTGCTGAGCCACCTTTGGTAAGAGGATATGTTGGTATCTGTCCTCAGAGAAGAAGGATGCATGAAATTACTGAGAAGCTAATTTTTTTTTCAGCTACCTTTAGAACCATGCTTTAAATATATTTTTTTGTTTTCCAGGATAAGGAATCAGTTTCAGAGAATCCTACCTTGGATTTACCTTGTTCTATAGGGTAAATAGAGAGTAATTTTCTTCTTTCCTAGGTATTTTCTTTTGGGGGGAAATTAGTATTTCTATTTGTTATGTAATATAGTTGTTATACTATTTAAATTCTTTTATCTTAGGAGAACTGAGGGAACTGCACACTCATCGAATACCTCAGATGTGGATTTCACGGGTGCTTCCAGTGCAAAAGAAACTACCTCGTCTAGCATTTCCAGGCATTATGGGTAGATATTTTATGTTCTTATTCTTTTTTTGTTTGTTTGTTTTGTTTTGAGACAGAGTCTTGCTTTGTTGCCCAGGCTAGAGTGAGTGCCGTGGTGTCAGCCTAGGTCACAGCAACCTCCAACTCCTGGGCTCAGGCAATCCTACTGCCTCAGCCTCCCAAGTAGCTGGGACTACAGGCATGCGCCACCATGCCCGGCTAATTTTTTCTATATATATTTTAGTTGGCCAATTGATTTCTATCTATTTATGGTAGAGACAGGGTCTTGCTCTTGCTCAGGCTGGTTTTGAACTCCTGACCTTGAGCAATCCGCCCGCCTCGGCCTCCCAAGAGCTAGGATTACAGGCGTGAGCCACAGCGCCCGGCCATGTTTTCTTCTTTTATTACAAGATCATAAATCATTGAATTTCTGTGCTCAAAGATTATCTAGTTCAACTCCTTCACTTAACAAGTGAACATAGAGGATTAGAGATTTGAATTTGGCTAAATAGAGTTAGATACAGACCCATCATAGCCTAACTTCTACTTTGTACTTATTCCAGTTCATTTCATCACTAGGCCTAGAACTGGTAATAAAGAACCTTTATTCTAGTTCTGTTATACTGTTGAAGCACATGAAACTGTGTCTTGTATGTGATTGATGCTTATTAAATATTTGTTTGAATCAGTGAATGTACTATTCTTCTTTTTAATGCTGAAACTGTTGGCAATACCTGACTTATGAGTAGGACTTTTTGGGAAGAATTTACCTTGATGGCCACCTATGTAAAAAATTTGCTCTGATTCTTTTAAGCTTCGTATTAATAGTACATTGTTAAGGAGGAAAAGCTCTACAAAGTTCAGCCCCAAGATGGTGTGATGGAATTTAACGTAATGAAGACATGCGGTAGTTTATTTATTTAGCATTAATTGTTTTGGTTTGACATATTTTTATGTCAACAAGGATGTATAGTATAGTGGAGGGATACAGAAAAATCAAGAGAACATATTGTGTGGGCATAGAATGCTTTAAAGCTTAGTAGACAATTTAAGCCTTTTCTGTTCCATAGATTATCTGACTCCAGAAAAAGAACACGTACTGGGAGATCTTGGCCTGCTGCAATACCACATTTGCGGAGAAGAAGAGGTCGTCTTCCAAGAAGAGCACTCCAGACCCAGAACTCAGAAATTGTAAAAGATGATGAAGGCAAAGAAGATTATCAATTTGATGAACTCAACACAGAGATTCTGAATAACTTAGCAGATCAGGAGTTACAACTTAATCATCTAAAGAACTCCATTACCAGTTATTTTGGTGCTGCAGGTAGAATAGCATGTGGCGAAAAATACCGAGTTTTGGCTCGTCGGGTGACACTTGACGGAAAGGTGCAGTATCTTGTGGAATGGGAAGGAGCAACTGCATCCTGACTGTAGGACTGAACATTATGTTCACTGCACTCTCATTTTCTGTAGGTACAGTTCAAAGCCCTAAAGGATAAAGGAGTCTGGCTTTTACTATCTTTCTTAAAAAAAAAAAAAAAAAGTTAAAAAATTTCAAAAAAGGGGATGATACTAGCCTTAACATGTACCTGTCAATGTTATGGATATTGTCATAAAAAGATATCTTTTAAAAACCAGAACAGAGACTTAATTTTTTAAATCTTAAGATTTGTAGAATGTTTCTAGGGTAGGATATTAAAAATGATTCAAACCCCATGCATGGTGTTAGATAATTTTTCTAATTACTCCATTGAGTCAGTTTTTGTGATTAGTGGGTATCAGAGCAAACAGATCATGTAGATAGCACAAGTATTTGGAGAAACATTGTCTGTTTTGTTACCAAAATGTTGGAAAAAATTCATTTCAATACCTTTTAGATTTCATAAAGTGCAGTGTATATAATGCCTACTGAAAGACTGTAAAATATTGAAATTTTCTTTCAAACAAAGTGTAAAAAATATATTGAGCCTGTAAATTGCTCTGTGACTAGACTTCATTGTCGTCTTAATATATTCTTTGCATGTGCATATATATACACACGTGTATATATATGTGTGTGATTATGTGACCTATGCAATACAAATTATGGGAATGGGCAGCTTTGGAGTATATATCCCATAATTCTTTTTTCAGGAATAGTTGCAGTATTTACACAGCAGCATTTCTTCTCAGGCTTTTATTGGGTGCTGTTGCTTGCTATGTATGAAGAGAAATGTGTCAGACAAGTTTAGTGTGTTCTGAAGAAGGGTGTGAACAACAGTGTTCATGGGCTTTTAGAATGCTTTTCACTGTCAGTCCTTGTAACTCAGCTGTTCAGTACCTAAAGCAAATTCAAATAATATGAACATTATCTCCTACTAGAAATAACGTTTTTCAAGTTTTCATGGCACATTATGATTGTAAATGTCTCTCAGTTTTAACAGTAAGTCTATAGGAGTCCCGTGAAGATTCCTGAAATGTCTGTAGTAACTGTTAGTCATGTTTGATCAAGTGTAGTATGAACAAAGTATTTTATTGCACAGGGTTAACAAACAGTATGTTGCCAACTGAGGCTACTGCTGTTTTATTACAACATTACCTCTTGTTTTTATAAAATGTACCAAGATTTAAATTGATAACTTTATTTTACATGTAAAAAACCAGTTTCTTTTATCACAGTGTTAGAGTTGTCTTCTGTTTCTTTTTGTTTTGTTTTGTTTGTTTTCTTTTTTAGCCAAAGAGTAAACAGAAGAATTTTCTTATTTTGGTGGCGATTCATTTTACTTTTAAAAGTGATTGGTGGATTATTAGACTAAACATGGGGGAATTTGCCACCAAAATGAAAAATATGTAAAATATAGTGATTGCAGAGTGGTAAAAATGTGGGTTAGTACTTATTTATTCCATTAATTGATTATTTGACTGTTTATAAAGAAAGTTGCTTTATTTCTTTAAACATCTTCAAAAGATGATCTTTTCTTGTCACATTATAGCCAAAAGAAGCAGAGAACTTCATTGTCCTGCATTTGGTTCCTGGTTGGCCAGGTATAAATGAGCTTTACAAAAGTGCAAATTAAAAACTGTCACTTCTGTTTACCTCCACCAAAACTTGATTTTCCCCTAGCTATTAATTTAAAGTTGCCTTTCCTGCAGCTGCAATATTTTGAATAACACACAGAGTTTGTGTTGATTTTTGAATGTTTGTTTATATCTAGGGGTAATGAAAAATGTAAATCCCGTGTAACCTTATTCACTCCACCTGTATCATATTATTTCATTTTCCCCTAAGTCCTTTAATTCTAACTGAACACCAGCAGTATTTTTAGAAACTTTAACATACTTGGAAGACGATTTATCAAGCTGAACTGTCTTTAGACGTAATTATTGTGAATGTCTGTTTTATTTTATCATGGTGGTTCACATGGCTCTGATGTTCAGTTTGTATTTTTGGAATTGCTTTACTTAGAATTAAAACAGACCAACATTAAATGTGTGTATTTTTAAAAGAGCTAATGAGTTTTGCTTCTGTATTTGCTTGAAAATACACACTAGTGCAGTAGTTTACTGCTTTTATTTAGCTAGGGAGGTAAGGATTTTCTAGTTCCTCTGCTAATATGTTTATCTGAATTAACCTTTATAAAACTTTGCTTTCATTTTCCTCTTATTCCCCTATAATATTAGTAATTGTTGTATGTTCACCTTGAACGGTCTTTAAAAAAAAATAAACTACGATTAGCCAGCTTGTATGCTGTATATTTGAAAGACAGTAATATTTCTATCTAGCTTGTTCCCAAACTTAAAAAAAAATTCAGACTACCCAACTTTTCTTTTTACTTACATAGAAGGTGTCAGAGTTTACATAAAAGGGGATTTCCTACTTTTTCTTAAAAAAAAAAAACAACAAAACTTTAAAAAACCCTTTGCCCCAGCATACAGAAATAAAAGATACAGAAATAATATACTATACTCATTTTAATTCAAAACAAATATATTTTTATAGATACTCTGGTACTAAATGATAAACATGAACTTAGACCCTTAGACCATGAAATTAGGGCAGAATATGAGCTATATGAGTTATTCTGTAAATCCTAATATAGAATTCTATAAATCCTAAATAAATAAATTATTTATTCCTATAAATCCTAATATACCACATCTTGCAAGGTATATTTGGTTACTAATGTTTAACAGAAGTGAATGTTCACTGATGTGTGGCAGTTGAGGGTGTCCTCCCCACCTCCTTTTTTCCAAGTATGCATGTTTGGTTTATATCATTTATATGTTCAGAAGATTTCTGTTGCCAGTGCTGAGGGTAGAACTACCTCTGTGTTTTGGGCTACTTAGTGTCTACTAGGTACTATTACATTTTTGTTGTAATATGGTCTGACTTACGTAGTTCTACCAGATCATTATATAACGTGTTTCTAAGTTGAATTAGGATGTGATGGTAAAGGAGATGGCCGTGCAATACTGGGAGATAATTTCTTTAAAAATGCCCTGTTTGTGTAGGGAAATTTTCCTTCTTAATTATATTTGAATACCTCAGTGAATGCACACTCCCACAGTTTCCTTTGGTTTCTTCTGTGGCATTTGATCAGTCATGTTCTTTCCTCAGGAAAATAGAAACTTGACAGTGAAATGTAAAGAACTCTATCTGATCACGGGTGCTTTCCTAATTGATCACGGTTAGGAAACCAGATGTCTGTCTGATAAAAATTTGGAGATGGGAGAAGCTGTGGAAACAAACTGATTAGTAGGTATAATATTTGTAACTTTTAAGTTATAATATCAAAATGTCTTTCACTAATAGCTGGATCAAAATATTATGCTGTCTTTATGTTTAAAATTAGAAAAAGATTACAAATTAACTAGCTCTATCTTTTTTTCTCTCATCCCGTTCATTTTTACCCTACCTAGCTCCTCTTGCATTTTCTCTTTGTTGGAGAGGAACAGTATATAGAAACTGGATATGTAGTAACTTCTCATTTGTCTGGCATTTACAAGGAATGTGATTTGTCATTCAAGATACCTTTCCACTGGATTTAAGCAAGCAAACAAATGAAATAAACAAAACCTTCACAGATGATAAAACGTAATTTTAGATAAAAAATTCATCCTGTTCAAAATCTGTATTCTACTTTCTGTTCCTTGTACATACTAAAAGGTTTCCAATCCCTTTTTTCCCTACCCTATGGCATGCATTGCCAGAGTTTGTATTAATGTCCTTAAATGTGCAAAAATTGGTTTGGGGGCTTGGGTGGCAAAAAAAACCCTTAGACAATGGTTTGTATCCCTCCAAAGTTCAACCCTACCTTGAAAAAAATCGTTATTCCTTAGTATTTAATTACTCTCATTGAGTTTTCTTAAGTGTCACACAAGCAGCTTTGACATTGAGTTCATGGAATTTATACAAAATATGTGTAAGATCAGTGCTATGAAATGATGCATATGGTTGGCTATGTTTTGAAGGACTAATAGCTTGATCTTACAAAACATATTGGTTGGTTTGGTGGCTTATGCCTATAATCCTAGTACTCTGGGAAGCTGAAGGCAGGAGGATCACTTGAGACCAGGAATTTGAGACCAGCCTGAGTAAGGGTGAGACCCAGTTTCCACAAAACATAGAAAAATTAGCCAGGTGTGGTGGCGCCTGTCTGTAGTCTCAGCTTCTTGGGAGGCTGAGGCAAGATGATGATGATGGCTTGAGTCCAGGAGTTTGAGGTTGCAGAGAACCATGATGATGCCACTGCACTCTAGCCCTGGGCACAGGACGAGACCTTGTCTCAGATCAAACAAACACACACAAAAAAACAACAACAGTAAAAACAGCAACAAAAAACACACTGGCAGAGGTAGTCTGTACTGCTTGTTGGCTGCCGCTGGCACCCTTGTGGATGTTGTTTGTTTGATCCTCAGTGCTTTTGTGTATGGCCTGGCTTAGACAATTAAATAAAACCATTTTATATTTTGTTATTTAATTCTACCAAGGTTATTCATCTCATTGTTAATTATGTCAAATGCTAAAAAGAAAAAATGTTGACAATATCTAAAAGAATCTCTAGCAGCTAGTTAGAAGTAATTTTTTCTTACCAAGCACAAGTTAAAAGTAAGCTCACCAAAGACATTTTTTTAGAAAAGGATTTTTTAAGAAATTATTTTTTACAGCCTGGTGCAGTGGCTCATGCGTATAATCCTAGCACTTTAGGAGGCTGAGGTGGGGGAATTGCTTGAGGTCTGGAGTTCAAGACCAACCAGGGCAACATAGCGAGACCCTATCACTACAAAAAATACAAAAATTAGCCAGGCGTGGTGGTGTGTACCTATAGGCCCAGCTACTCAGGAGGGTGAGGCAGAAGGATTGCTTGGGCCCAGGAGTTCCACACCACTGCAGTGTAGCCTAAGTGACAGAGTAAGATCCTGTCTGAAAACAAAAACAAAAACCCAAATAAAGAAAAAATTAATTTTTTCTAATGCTTTTACCTTTGCTGAAAAGTATTTTTTTTCTTTTTCTTTAATTTTTTTAAGAGACAGGGTCTCTGCTACCCTGGCTAGAATACAATGGCACAATCGTAGCTCACTGCAACCTCAAACTTCTGGACTCAAGCAGCCTTCCAGCCTCAGCCTCCAGAGTAACTAGGCATGCACCACCACACCTAGCTAATTCTTTTTTTGTTATTCGTAGAGACTGGATCTCCAATGTTGGCCAGGCTGGTGTGGAATTCCTGGTCTCAAGTGATCTTCCCATCTCAGTCTCCCAGAGAGCTGAGATTATAGGCACTAGCCACTGTGCCAAGTCTGGAAAATTTTTGAATGAATTTTAAAAATTAGATTACATTGCCATTATGTATTTCTATAAACCACTAATTTGCATATATAAGTTGATACATTATAATTAAGTAAATACATAAATTACTTAAATGCACAGGTGTAAATTTAAGTTAAATAAGTTGATAGCATCCATGATTAATAATAAATACTTAGTAGTGGATTATAATCAATGCTGTTTTAATCAATAATTGACAAAATACAAATATTTTCTATTACCACTAGTGTAATGTAAGGTAATTTTTTGTATACAGAATTTGAGATAGTAACAAGCAGAGAAGAGATTTTGTGCCCTAAAGATAAACTTTTTTCCTCAAGGAGATATGGAAAGTTAGGGAAATGAAGCTTGTTGAATAAGGTTTGGGGAGAGGGAACCTATTGGTTTCATCTAAGACTATGGTTTCTGTATCCTTTGTTACCAAGTTCCTTCCAGAATCCAAGAGCATGTTCTATATCTGGTCCATTGATTAAAAGAAAGTTTACAGGATTTTCTGGTTTATTTGAACTTGATATAAATTTTCCAATGAAGAATTAATGTCATTAAGACCCATCTTGATACTTCTATAAACCATAGTTTGATCTGTAAGCAACTTTTAAACCATTTGAAGACTAGAAATGTTAGAAACATTAAAAATGCCTTATTACTGAAGGATTTTCTAAGATGTATTAAACATTGTATGCTTTTAAAAACACCATTTTTCACATGTTAATCTTTCCTATCTACCGAGAGATTATAAACATTCATTATTGTGTGTTGCTGTAATATGGTAGTACTCATGGGAATCTGGGTTTGGGTAGGAAAGTCTTGTCCTTACTCTTAATGACCAAGGCTAGGTTGTGCTTTTATATTTGTCTGATTTTCATGTATCTTCTGTGGGAGTCCCCATGTTAAGCAATGTTTATTCACAGTGCATTGAGTGGCTTTCTCCTTTTTTCTTTCCCACCTAGCTTCTAAACATTACTAATTTGCTATAGAGTGGAAAGAATTGAAGTAAGGCTTTCTGGGACAAATAGATAATCACGGAAATAGAAGTTTGAACCTTGTTTTGCCCACAATTCTGATTTTTAGACTATCAGTGAGGGTTTGAGAGTGATTTACTTCTCACAAAAAGTAAATAACTTTTTCAATATTGTTCACTAGAAAAAGATGTTTTTCATTTTGTTTTTCTTGTTTTCTACCTTGTAAAATATAAATGGTTGAGATTTTTAGAAATTTGACAACTGGATATTATAATTGAGATGTAACTGTAATGTAGGCTAGAGTAAGTTGATTGTTCTGTAGCTCTCTAATTGGTCTTTACATTTCCTTAATACATTTCAAGGCACAAACTGACTGGCAAAACATAGCAGCATGGTCTTCTATTAACTGATAGGTGGAGTGAGGCTTTTGCTAGAGTTGGCTCATGTATTATGTATTATGAGAAAGAAGAAATAGTGTTTTTGCCTACTATGGACTTGTCATGTAAGAATAGTACCATTTTAGAAAAATAGCAAATTGATATGACATGGTTTTATTACCTCTATATATTTAGTAGACATAAATGAAGCCCTAGAACCAGAAAGATGTTATTTTGGTAGTAATTCAATATTCTTATTACTTTATAGGTTGAAAGAATACAAGAATTGCTATTTTAGTAATTTGATTAACTTGTTAGCACTTTAAGTGCTGAAATTGTTTAT